TGATATTCACATGTGCTGTACACTCTCATCGGCAACCTCCCTTATTACGTGCATAAATGGGGCAAAAGAGAAAAGAGATAAAGATGTGTTCATACCCTTCAGAGAGGATATCCAGCAGATATCAAAGAAGGTAGTCCAGGACCAGGGTGGCCAAGTGTATGGAAGAGTAAAGAAGGAGAGGGCTGGGTGTCTCGGCAGTAGGGTCAGGTTTCTAGAGTTCCGGTAGAATGGTGTCTAGTGGTGTCACGCCGGAGGGATTGAGGAGTTGTTGGGTGTATACCGTGGAGGCAGAGTGGGTTGGAGTTGCCCATTTTGTCAGATGTTTGGTATTAAAAAGGAGAGCTGAGCCTCTAAGGCCTGCAGGAGAGAGAGGGTTTTTTTTTCTTTTTCTCTTTTTTTAAGGAATAAGGGAAGTTGAGCATGTTGTAAGGCAGAGAAAGAGGATAATGACAATGGCTAACGTATCTGCAGGGCTTATTCTATGCCAGGCATCATGGTGAGTACTTTACACTCACGATCACATTTAATCCTTAAAACAACCCCAAGATGAAGCTATTTCTTCCCCAGGTTTTGAGATGAAGCCACAGATGCTTATGGAGTTTGTTTGCCCTATGTTGCAGAGCTAGTAAATGGCAGTGCCAGGGTTTGAGTTTTGTCTCTGTGAATCTAACCTCTATGACCAGAATAAGAGGAGAGCCAAAACTGCAAGAGTGAAAGGGGCTGTTTGGTAGAGCCCTCTGAGAGGAGAGAATCTGAGAGATGATGGGGAGTTGCAGCCTCAAGTTAGAAATTCCAAAGGGAAGGAACCATGTGTGACTCGTACTGTTCTCCGTGATCCATTCATGGATGATGTAGCTGATACAATAAGACAGGAGTAGTTTGCGTTTGGTATGTGTAATGACAGAACTGCCCTCCTGTGGGACTGGTTCAATCTGGGCTTTCTGCACCTTACCCCTTTTGTCATCTAATAATTCAAACTCTGAAGCATCTAGGAACCACTCTGCTCTGGATGTTGCTATTTGGTGTTATCTATTTGGTGCTAGTGCACTTGAGAATTGAACTGCATCTGTCCTCCTCCACTGCATTCTGTAATACCCATAAGAGAAAGTTCATGGAAAAATTAGGGGTAGGGGTGGCTCAGGACAAGTGAGCCTGGTTATTACACTGCAGTAATTTGTACTCCACAGTCTATTTCTGCATAACAGGCAGACATCAATCCACCATCCACTCAATTTATTCATTCATCAGACATTCATTGCACGCTTACTCTGTGATAGGCTGTTCTAAGTGCTAATGATATCAAGGTTAAAAGACACACATCTCTGGGAGTGGAAGTGGTGATTGAACAGCAGGCAGGGCCGTGGAAGGATTTAATATTCTTAAGAATGGGAAATGTTTGAGGTGTTCATAGTCTGCTGAAGAGTTGGACAAATAAGCTTGGAGCCCAAGCAGTCAGAAGCTATACCCCAAATCCTGCTGCAGGGCCAGTCTGGCAGAAAACAGCATGGTTGCTACCCTGGGGGCCGGGCTGCTGCCGGCACCACTGACCAGGAGGGGTCATCAAAAGCTTCTGCCTCTAGGAAAACAAGCACTACGTGTACTCACCATTAAATTGGTACTGATTGATCGACACTTATGTGCACATGTGGAAGTAACATTCGCAGGGTGTCAGGCAGGTGGAAAGGGGAGAAGGAGGATAGGTACCTATTGGGTGCTGTACTTGCTGTCTGGAGTATGGGCACACTTGTAGCTCTGACTTGGGCGGTGCAAAGGCAATTTATGTAAGCAAAGCATTTGTACACCTATACTATTCTGAAATAAAATACATAAATTTTTTTTAATTTAAAAAAATATATACATATGTTTGTATATGCATTAAGAAACACTAGAAAATAGTAAAAGACTGAAATGATTACTTATTAAGGTCAGAAAGAAACAGAAGGATGGGCACAACAAATCTCAAACTAGATTTTTTTTATTTTGTTTTATTCTGACCTCTGAAAGTATAATATGTATCAAAAAATAAATTTTAAAAAAGCAAAAAAAAAAAAAAATGCTTGTGCCATAATCTCTGCCTCTGCTGTCTCTGGAACTGGCATTCACTCCCAACCACCCCAGCATGGGTTCTGCTTAGCATGGCGTCTTCGCATTGCTAGCATTCAACTCAGAGTCTGGAGTGGGTGGTCTGGTTGGCAAGACCTAGCTCATGTGCCAATAGCTGAACTTAACAGGAGTCTGGGAAAAGAAGTATCTGCATTTTATCAGCTGTAGTGTATGTGGGCTCTGGTAGTAGTTGAAATGTTCGGTGGCCATGAAGAATGGTAGATGTCCAGTACAGTACCACAAAACACATGAATAAACAGTGCCAATCATTCAGCGTCAGGAGACAGTCTTAGGTCACTGACTTTCTCTATAGTTCCTCTGTAGAGGACTATTTTAAATTCTTCTTTGATTCTTTAGCACTTTGCAGTTTTCCTGGAAAATAGTGGGCTCTCAGGAAATGTTTGTGGAATGGATTATTAAATGCTCATTGAGCATATTCTTTCAATAAACACATATCCGGCTTATGCTTTGTGTCAAACACTATGTTGAACGCTGTTTGCAGGGTCGAAATGCTTTACCTGATAGTAAAGAAGTAATCAGGAATAAGGATTGGGCTACCATGTAAGAATCAAAATATAAGGATAGAATGTAGAGTGAAGAAATACTGCTTAGGTAAGTAGTAGAGTGAATCCGAATCAGCTTCCTAAGTTGAAGTTGGGAATATGGTGGTCAGGGGTCGAAAGCACTGAAAAACTTCCCAGGACAAGTTGCAGAGATGGTGGAGGTTGACCAGTTAGAGGGGACAGTCACCTTCTGAGAGCAGAGTGGGCAAGCTGTACCTCAAGCTCTTACCACTCTCATCTGGCTGGCTGGGACATTTCTAGGCCATTTGCTTGCTTGTTTTTAGGGAAGTTATAGCACTTGCTGTTTTTTCTCTAAGTTACTCTGTTATATGCTCAAATTGTAGCAAGCTGTTAAATGTGCTATATCTGCAAAGCTCTTAGGACCATGTCTACCATGTTGTAACTACTATATAACCACATATTAAAAAATGAAAATATAGAAATATTCTGTTTCTGATGCTTTCTTTCACACAGTATATCAAGGATCCCACTTGGACTCAAATTTAGCCAAATACCAGGAATATTCTTTCACCTTTTGAGCTTTGACCTTTTTCATGCAGCATTTTCTAATTCTCAGGTATAAGGAGCTTTCCATGTTCCAGGTTTTGCCTGTAGCACAGCCCCTCAGCCCCTCCTCTGCCTCTTCACTGGGACAAGTCATGAGTGCCACCCCCTGGGTAAAGTGGCCTGACTGCTGGACCCAGCAGCTCCTCTCTATCTTGTTAACTGCTGAAATTTTTAGAAAAATATTCCATCTGGCCTTTTCAGTTGTCTTCAGGGAAAGGGTTGGTCCAGTTTACCTTATATCATCACTATTGAAAATGGAAATTCTAGTTCATGTGCTTTATGCAGTTTCAATCATATCCTCTCAAGAACCAATAAAGGAAACTAGTGAGGTTTTGTTCATTACACAGATGAAGAAAATGAGGCAGAGAGAATTTATGTTTGCTGTCATGAGTCTTAGAGCTGATTAGGAATGGAACCAGAATTTGAACTTAGGCAGTCTGGGATTAGAGTTTGTCTTAGTCCATATTTTGCTGCTGTAACAGAATACCATCGACTGAGTTAATTTATAAGGAATAAAAATGTATTGGCTCACAGTTCTAGATAGAAGCTGGGAAGTCTAAGATCAAGGGGGCCAGTACCTGTTGAGGGCCTTCTTACTGCATCAAGGCAGGGCAAAAGGGCAAGAGAGAAGAAACAAACAAACAAAAGGGAACAGAACTTTCATTACATTTCCTGTGGCAATGCATTCACCCCGAGATAAGGAACCCATTCTGTGATAATGGCTTTAATCTATTAACTCCGCCCTGTGGCCTAATCACCTCTCATTAGGTCTCACCTCCCAACCTGGTTACATTGGGGATTAAGTTTCCAACACATGCTTTTTCGGGTACACATTCAAACTACAGCAGAGCTATCCTCAAGATTTGAGATCAAATAAACTCTGTACTTAATCATACACACAAAAAACCCCCACAAACTATAGCAGAGCTTGTGTTCTTAACCTCTGTGTCCATTCATTTTCTGTATTTCATAAAGCAGGATAACAGCTTCATCATCCAAAACATTCTATAAAAGGTCAAACAAGTCTCTACCTGTACTTGCTTTCCTTATAACTTTAGGGGCAGTTTGGCAAAAGCCTAGCCATCTAGAATTTAATACCAGTAAATGCGGTATATTCTGCACCTTTTTCAATGGGCGTGTAACATGGACAGATATACTATCAAATAATTAGTTCCCTATTTTTATGGATTTAGATAGTCCTAGCTTCATGAACATTTCAATCTTGCAGAGAGAAAAAAATCCTTTGAATTTTGCCAAAATTGTGTCTTTTTACTGAATTTGGTCAAGGCATACAGGGATGAAATAGACACATCTGGTGATTGAACCATTTGAATGTCTGATAAAATTTTTAAAATCTGGAATCTTCAGTTCTGGAAAATGGCATCAGTGAATGGGACTCAAAAAGCTGCATTTGTGTACATTTGTGAGCCAAAAAGTCCTTGGGATTGTGCCAAGCAGGACACTTTCATGTACCTCAAATGGCCCGAAACCCCCCTGGACAGCCGAGGGCCTCCCATAGTGCTGAGGGACTCCAGGTACACTCTGCAGCTCTTGCTCTCTTGTTCTCTCGCTCTCTCTCGGGGATCTAGGGCTCAAAAGGCACCAGAACCAGACCTGCCCCATTGCTTCGGTTCCATTTGGAGCAGATGTATCTCTTCATCGGGTCCAAACTAGTTCGTTTTTGTTATTTTTTTCTTGAGAAAAAAAGCCTTTTTCTGCTTTTGGTAAAATCAAAGCCCTAACCTATATTCTAATTCTTTTTGACAGAGAAAAAGACAAGCATATGAATCTAACCTTATTTGTCATGGCCTGCATCTAGAAGCAACAAGATCAGTAAGTGTTGTTCCTTTTTCCTCCCTTGGCTGACCACTATTCTTGGGAACCTGTGTGGCACTGGGCATACTGTGATGGCATTGGAAATATGCAGCCCTGTCTGTGCCTTAGTCATAGACTATAAAGAGAGTCAACCAAAAGCTGTATTGAATAAAACCTATTGTCTTTTTCTCCTTGAAGCTGGCAGATCTTTTTTAGTAGCCAAATAATTTTATAATGAATGCATGAATGATTATTGTCTTCCTTTAAGAATCCTTTAAAAATTTTATTATGCAAACAATAGTTTATGATAAAAAACTAGAAAATATAAAAATAGGGAAAATAAGAATCATCTGTATCTTATCCAGAAATAGCCTTATATTCCTTCTAAACATTTTTTTCCCTTAACTATAAATATTTTCCCTTTCAAAAGGGGAATTATCATTACACAGTTTTATAATTTGATGTTTTAATATATAGTAAATGAATTTCTATATCAAAAAGTATAATCTATTGATTATATTAAAAAGTATAGTCTTTTTAATGGCTGCATAACATGATGTTGAACACATATACAATAAACCATTCTAGGCTCAGGAAATTAAAATTTTTTTCATTACTATAGCACTGCAATGAATATTCTAGTGTTTTTATTTTAAGTCACTAATTTGGATGGAGTAATGGGCAAATTAACTAGTTTTTTTTTCTTGATTTGAAATATTACTTTTATGAAAGAACTATGATAATTTGAATTACTTTCTTAATGATTTGAATGAAGAAATTATCTTTTTATGATGGTTTGCAAATGTATTTGTATTATATCTCCACTTTTACTGGTCTACTCTGTGTGGGTGGGGAGGGTTTCTTTTTGTTTTTTTTTTTTTTTTTTTCCTAACTACTAGCAACATAAGAAAAATCTTATGTTTTAAAATTGTGAAAATAGTTGGTTTGGTTTTGTGGTCTGTGTTTTTATTCTTCCAACATAGGTTTTGGATGACAAGCTTGTATTTGTAAAAGTACATGCGCCGTGGGAGGTGTTATGTACGTATGCTGAGATAATGCACATCAAATTGCCTCTGAAACCCAATGATCTGAAAACCCGGGGCTCAGCCTTTGGTAGACTCAATTGGTTTACCAAATTCCTCAGTGTGGACGAAAGTATCATCAAGCCAGAACAAGAGTTTTTCACTGCCCCATTTGAGAAGAACCGGTTGAATGATTTTTACATTGTTGATAGAGATACCTTCTTCAATCCAGCCACCAGAAGCCGCATTGTAAGTCTAAACCAAATTTAGTTGCTCTCTCAGAGTGATTTGGAACCTGCTATTGGATAATTAGTTGTTTGGTTGATTTAGTTTTGTTTTTAAAAGCTAAAAAAAAAAAACCACATAGAAAAGAAATATGCCTACAGATTCCTGTTATAGTAGTAAACAATGATTGAATTGGTTAGTTACACTATATAAATCACACTATTTTGGAATCTTTTTAGGTTTACTTCATCCTCTCTCGGGTCAAGTATCAAGTGATGAACAATGTTAACAAGTTTGGGATTAACAGACTTGTAAGCTCTGGGATCTACAAGGCAGCTTTCCCTCTCCATGATGTAAGTTAAATGGCAAAAATGAAAGAAGCGTCTTAATGTACAATCCAGTGTTGACAATAAAGAAAGGCTAACTACCTTGACCTTAAGTTTCTTCCTCACTAAAATGAACATAAAATACTGCAAGTCTATAAGCTCATTTAGGGCAAGAACCAGCTTGTTTTGTTCACAGATGGACCCCAAGCATGGAGAAGGCATCCACTTTAAAGGAGTGAATTAATGAATGAACAGTGTCTCTCCCACCGTTAATGTATAAAGTAGTACAGATTAGTGGTTAATCTGTATTAGCATTTCTGGGACTGAAATGCCTGGATGACTTTGTGAAAATTACCTAGTCTCTCTGTTCCTTAATTTCTTCATCTGTCAAATGGGGATGATAATAGTATCTCCCTTATAGAATTGTTATGAGGATTAATTAAATTCATCTATGTCAAATGTTAGTCCCTGGTGTATAATAAGTACCATATGAATGTTAGCTATTTTTGTAATTACTGACAAATGTTATCAAACAGAAAATATTAGTTCTTTGCAAGCAAAACACATGTTAGACCTTCACATTTATCATTTTCTGCAACATAGACTTTCCCCCCTCATTTGAAATACTGTTTTCAACCTGTGCCCTGGAATAGTCCAAGGCTTTTTAAAAGATGTCTGCCAGGATTGTCACAGTGGCAGTACCCCAAATTGTTGGCATTTTTTTAAGGACTACATTATGAGACTACAGCAGCCCCTCACATTCAAGAGAACTTCTCTAGCTGATAACATTACTCATGAAATGAAATTTTTTAAATGTGACCACCCAAGACCCTTAATGACTCCATGAATGCAGGAACATTATGTCTAAAGCTGTTTAAATAAATTCTCTCATTGAAATAAATACCATACTTTATTACATTGTTACTTTGTTACATTCACTATCAATTTATATGAATCTCTAAAACTCTGAAAAAGGACTGAGATTATAATTGCTACTGTGTAGTACATTTGTGGATGCAAACAGTATTGAAACATACAATACAGGATAATAAAAGTAGGACACCAAACAGCTATTTGATGCACATGGGTAAGTAGAGAACAGGGAGCTCCGTGGAGAAGCAGATGCTGAGCTCCAGCCTGACAGTCCTTGTATTTTATGTTTGTGCCCCAGCAAAATTAGCAATTATAGCATGACATGAACTTTGGGGATACTTGCGGATAGCTGCCATGAATATTCATAGTATTCAATTGACATTTGCCTGTGCCCCGGTCTTTTCTACTTAGCCTCTTCTAAGTGCAGTAATCCCAGATCCAGGCTAAAGAATGATCCCATTTGGCATTTGGAAGGGATGTGGGTGGAGGTCAGGGCCCATGCTAAGGTTTGACTGGATGATAATCTGATTCTAGTATAGGAAGAAGGAAAATAGGCAGGAAAAAGGGCAATTGAATTTAAGCAGAGGCAGGAGGTTTTGTTTCTTGAATAAGCTAAGTATGTAACATGATGTCAAGCTTCTTTGTTTGTTTTCTGCATGTTATCACAAAATAGCTGCTGGACTGGAGGCAAAGAAGCCTGGGTTGTAGAACTGACCCTGCTGCTGACCGGCTCAGGCCCTGCTTCCCCATTGTCCAAGGATGGGGCTGGGCTCTGAGGTGTTTCTTCAGGGGGGTGATTTTGGCACTTAGGTGGCCCGATTTCTCATTGTTCAGGACTACCCCACTTGTAGGGCATTAAGCCTCTCTGAGGCTCCCGCCAAGAACCTACAGTGCCCCTAGGATTGTAACATCCAAGCATTCATCCCCACCCACATTGGCAAATGACCCCCAAGGGAGATATTAATAGTTACAACCCTGGTTGAGAATCACGAAAATCAGCTGTTATTTCCATCCCTTCCGGCAAGCTCGGGGCCCCTTATTCACAAACGCCTATCAAGTATTAGTACCGTATTTAATAAACAGATTTGTGAAAACATGACTGATACTCAGGTGTTTCCTTCTGCTTCACAGTGCAAATTCCGCCATCGATCGGAGGATCCCAGCTGCCCTAACGAAAGGTACCTTCTGTACAGGGAGTGGGCGCATCCTCGAAGCATATACAAAAAGCAGCCCTTGGATCTTATCAGGTGAGTTGTTGTAGAGAAGATTTCGGGTGGGAAGCACTCAGGGGTTGCCCTCAGGGGATCTAAGTGTGACAGTGTGACAAGGACTGTTGCCACCCAGGGAAGCTCACCCAGAGCACTGAGCGTCATTGTCCAGAGTTTCACTGTGGCTTCATTAGTTAGGCATGGTTAATTGAATCATTGCTCATGCGGCTCAAAGCTCCAGTTGTCTAATCCCATGGTACTTCTTTCTGGCATGGCCAGCCCCATCATCAGCACAGACAATCTAGGGTCCCACCATGCGTCACCTCACTGGCATAAACTATCAGGGCTGGTCCCAGAGGCCTGCCATGATTGAAAAGGCACTCCTATCTCTCAAGGGATCCCAAGGGTTTAGAGGTTACCTCCCAGGAACTGGAAACAAAGATCCACTTTATTACACAGAAGTAAACTTTAGGTGTAGGTTATTATGTTGTATGGTAAGACACACATTTCCACCCTTTTCCTGTTTCATTGTATCTAACAAGGTATACAGACTAGCACTCAGGGTTTGTCTTGTCAAAGCTGCCCCCAGAAGCTTACCTTATTTGGGCAAAGGCCAAGGATACTGGCTGCTGGTAAGAGATAGGCCAAGAACAACCAACAAACAGAAAACATGAGAATAACAAGCAGAATTTCTGCCGGCAATGAAGAAAATAACAGAGTTAAGGTGGAAGGGCAGAGTGGGGAAGTGAGTTGAGTAAGTTATCTCTGAGTAGGTGACATTTGAGCCGAAACCCGATAGTGAAAAGGAGCTGGTACTTTGAAGACTTGGAAGACTCATTCCAGGGCCGGGGGTAGCCTGTGCTGTGGCGCTGAGGCACAAGTACACCTGGCAAGTTTGAGGAAATACTGAAGGGAGACCAGTGCTAATGAGAAAGAGAATGATAAGACATGAAGTTAGAGGGCTAACGGGGGGCACACACAGTCATTTAGATTTTAAGTGCACTGAGAAGCAGTTGTAATATTTTAAGCATTTAAGTAATTTTGTCTTGTTGGAGAGTGTTTTATAGGGGGCACAGGAAGCAGAAAGACCAGATAGGAGGCTATTTTCTTTTTTGTGATGATAGTGGGCCAGGGAAGAGATTGTGGGAGCAGATTTGGAACGTATCTTTGGAGTCGAGTTGACAGGACTTGTCTATGGATTGGATGTGGAGGGTGAGAAGGGGAGGAGAGTCACATGATCCTTACGTCTGCCTGGGGCCATGTGCCTGTTCTTTCTGTGGCATCTCAGTGCCTCACGCAGGTGCCCACCTGCTCGGGAAAACTAGTTGACCTCAAAGGTGAGAGTTTTAAAACATGCTAATGGTTTGTTCTGTTTTATATTTATTATGGAAAATTTCAAATGTATATAAAAGTAGAGAGAATAATATAGCAAGCCTACATTCAGAATCTGTCACCAAACTCCAAAAAGTACAAACTCATAGCCAATCTTGTTTCACATTTATTCCCACCTCTTCCCTCCTCCCTCCACTGCATCATTTTGAAGCAACCTCAAATATCATTTTATTAGCATCTATTTGTTAAATGACAAGGTCTCTTCTAAATATGATCAGGATACCCTTTTATAAAAAGGAACAGTTCCTTAATGTCATCAAATAATTAGTATTCAGATTTCCCTGATTGTGCAAAAAACAAACAAAAAAAACACTTTGTACTTTTTGGTTCAAATCAGGCTCCAAACAAGGTCCAGATGTTATAATTAGTATAATCTCTCAAATTTCTTCCACTCTGTGTTGCACTATTTGTTTCTTGTTTTCCTTGCAATTGTTGCAAGAATTCCTTGCATTCTCTATTTTGCAGATTTTATTCTCTCCTGCAGTGTTGTTAAACATGTTCCTCTGTATTTGCTTTAGCTAATTAATATTTTTATTTGTGGTACCTAATTTGATCCTCATCTAGAATCTTGATCAGATGGAAGTTTGATTTTGTATAAGAATACTTGATATGTAGAGTTAAGTACTTCTATGAGAAGGTACTTATTATACAGTTGTCTCTCTTTTTTGTGATGATAACAGCCATCAATGATCATTACTTAGACTCTTCATTTCATGAGGGATTTCATTTCATTATTTAATTTGGTTATACTCTTAATTCCCTCCTTTTTCATTTTTATTAACTAGATTACAATCATGAAGAGGCACTTTCATTAACTCTGGTTACCCTGTAGAGTAAGATTTTAAAAGAGGATGTTTGTACATATGTAAATATTTGAGGTTGACATTCATGTGAAGTTTCGATTTTATTTAATTTCCTTTTATGTTAAACCTGGCAACATCTGATGGCAGGGTGGTGGGTTTGATGGATTCTTAATCATTCTTTATGTGGTTTTTCCCCACCTTTGGTAAAGACAACAATTTCCCCACTATTTTAAATGTATTTTGCTAAGGGAAATGCATTTAACTATCCCCTGTCCCTGGTCCACATGTTCCTGCCCTTCCTTGCTTCCCACTAGTAACCCCTTGAGCATCCAGGCTATTAAACCTTCATCCCTAATTCCCAGAGATTGCCAGAGGGAAAAATGAGCTCTTTTCCAAGAAGCAAACCAAATAAACTAGAAAGAGCAACCCGTAGGAAACAGACTTTGACCAGGAACAAAAAAGCTTCCCCCAAAACTCCCATTTTTACCCTCAAAGTGATAAAAGAAGATATGGTATCTATAAGATGAGGACATGACTCTATTAAAAAAGATCATTGTGAGAATGAAATGTAGCTCTTAGAAATTAATAATGTGGGAAAACAGAAAAACCCCAGTATAAGAAAATGAAGTTGAAGAAAGTATGCAGCGCATAGAACAATAAATATAAAGAGAGAGAAAATAAAAGGCAGAAAAGATAAAAATTAGAAGTTCAGTCCAGGGGGTATAAATAATAGGAGTGTCAGAAACCAGAACAGAGAAAATATAGGAAAGAAATCTGAGAAGTACTTCCAGAGAGGTATCTGAAGAGCTAACTGGCATGAGTCTCCAGATGGAAAGAGCCTCTGAGTACCCCGCCTAGAGCCACAGCATCACCGTAACATGACATCTCAGAACACTGGCAACAAAGAGAAGGTCCTGCAAGCCTCCAGAAAGCAAAATGGAAAGAAAATGATATGAAGGATCGAGACTTGGAATAGCATTGTACTTCTCAATGACAACACCGCAAACTAGAAGAAAAGAGAACGATAACTTCAGAGCTCTGAGGGAAGTGATTTTTTTCCAACTTACAGTTCCATATTTGGCTGAACTGTCAAGTGTGAGGAGTTTCCACAATTCAGATGTGCAAGGTAATGGAGGAGGTGCGCCACCAAGGAAGAGGAGGACCTGAGATTTAGCAGAGAATCCCAATGCGCGAGAGAAGGGCAGAGAAGTCCCAGGCGACAGCTCTGTGGCAGGGCTGGAGAGTCATTGATCCAGGTTGGAGGGGGGTGTCTAAAGGGATTTATTCAAGGAGTTGAAACTGATAGACTGCCTCATGGTTTGAATGTACTGTGGAAGTTATATGTCATGGTTGAGTCTGGGCTTGAATGGCTGATAAGTACACAGAAAACTAAGCATTGAGCCATCAAGACAATTATTAACTCCAAGGAAATCAGGAAGGAGAAGGTAATCATGGCAGGTGACTTGATTCAGCTATCATAATAATGTAAAGCAACGGTATTGACCTAACCAAAAATTATAATGTAACTGTCAAGAGAATGGGAATAGAGATATGGATGTGTAGGTGAGGCAGGGGGTTGAAAGCTTGTAATCCTCATCTTCCAGAGTAGAAAGTCAATAGGTGATACACAAAACTGAAAAATCAATGAGCAGCACTTCACACAAAGTATTTAGAGATACGGAAGTAAATATCCAAAGAATCAGCTATAAGAGTTGAAAGTGGCTGATTCTGAGCAGCAGGAAACAGGAGAGGTGTTTGGGGCCTGCTCCTTTTTATATTCAGCCTTCTAGAGCTATTTGACTATTTAATGATGACATACTTACACCTTTGGTTAAATAAAAAATCAAAGCTGACTTTAAAAAAAAAAAAATTAACGTTAAGAGTTGAGATGTTTTTGGCAGAGAGAGCCAGTGACCGGAGGGATCACATGACTGCATCCTCATTATTCCCAGCATTTCTGCAAGAATGAAGAGACAGGTTGCCATTTAAGATTTGAAATTTTTTCTGACCTTGCCTACATTGTAACAGGGATGCCTTAGAAAGCAGTGAACTAACTCCCTGTTCCTGTAAATATCGGAACAGAGACTACCTGACCAGCTCTCTAAATGCAGCAGGATATTTTTACTGTTGGGAGGTTGGAGCAGGCAACTTCCAAGATTCTTTCCAGTTTTAAAGATGGCATTTCCAGAATGGATGACTGAGGAGAACGTATTCCAGAAAGCATAATAGAAAAGAGGCCAAGCCGTCTCAAACCTGTCGCTAGGCATTTTTTTCCCCCAGGCTCTGTCCTGAGCCTACCATTTGCCTGACATCCATAAGCCAGATAACAAAGCTGCAATCACAAGAAAATAAGCACTCTTTGTTCCTCCCATCTCCGTCTCTGCCTTTCCTTTTGCCTGTGGAAGTGGCCTGTGCCCAGCACTGTGAGCTCTGGAGCTGGTCCAGCCCCGGCTGTGGCTGTGGGAAGTCTCCCAGGACTCCAGGTGGTGTTCAGAGCTGAGTCTCCACTAGGCTAAGCCCAGGGAGTCAGGCCCAGCTCCACACTGAGTCTAAAGCCTCATGTAGGCTCAGGGCTGAGTAAATCTTCTACAGGTTCCAAGACTTAGGCAGGAGTGAATCGGTCTAGGAAAATATCAGCAACAGCTGTCACCTAAATATCACTTCATTGTTTCCTTCTCATCCCTAAATGCTTTCTTTCCGCCAACTGTATTTGGCCTCCCTTTCAGGAACAATTCTGGCACTGTTTCTTACTCAACCAGCCCTCTTCTATTCGTACCTACCTGGCCTCTTCCATATTACCCCAGAACATACCATTAATCAATGTTTAAAACTTAGAAAAAATAGAAGTGCTAGATATAAGGAGTTTAGGGTAGTGGATTCCTGAATCGTATCCGTCTTGCATTCTCCCATTCTTACAATGAGTTTTGCAAAAATTTTGGTCAGAGAGATTCCGCTATAGCTTAGTATTATTACTAGTTTTTTTAATTATTATTACAATTGACCCTTAAACAACACAGGGGTTTTGAAAACACATGTATAACTTTGACTTCCCAAAAACTTAACTTTCAATAGCCTACCGTTGACCGGAAGCCTTACCAATAACAATCAGTTAACACATATTTTGCATGTTATATGTATTATATACTGTATTCTTACAGTGAAGTAAGCTAGAAAAAAGAAAATGCTAATTAAGAAAATCATATTGGAAGAGAAAATATATTGACTGTCCACCAAGTAGAAGTGGGTCATCCTATGAAAGTCTTCATCCCTTGGTCTTGCTGTCTCAGGGGTGCCAGAGGAGGTAGAAGGGAGACAGAGGAGGAAGCCACACCCGGTATAACTTTTATTGAAAAAAAATACATGTGTGTATAAATGGACCCATGCAGTTCAAACTTATGTTGTTCAAGGGTCAACTGTCTTTGTGATTTATGTTACCTTTCCTCCAAGGAAGCTCCCTACTTAGGTAAAACTAAGTAACTTTGAGCAGATTGTTCCTGTTCATTTGTTCCATGCATGTTAAGAACAATCTTTTGGAGATTGTGTAAAAGAGCGCTATCTTTAGAAAGAATGATAGGAATACTCTGTATTTGCCCCATAATTCAGCATTTTCCCCTCCCGTGCTCTGTTTTAACATACTCTGCTTCAACAAGCAAACTGGCGATTGTGATCAGTACCTCTAAGATGTGTGATATACCTTTTGTTTCCTCATAGAATTCAAGGTCTGCTGCTAGTCATGGCTATGTTTTAAGGATGAATTGAGTGAGAGGGTTAAGCCAAAAACCTCCTTTTATTAAAAAGTAAAAATTAATATTAAGCTGAGGAGTCAGAGTGATTTTTATTTGTATCTTTTAAAAATAATTTCTGTCTATCTTCAGAAAATATTATGGAGAGAAGATCGGAATCTACTTTGCTTGGCTGGGCTATTACACGCAGATGCTCCTCCTGGCAGCGATCGTGGGAGTGGCTTGCTTTCTCTACGGATATCTTAATCAAGATAACTGTACCTGGAGGTAACTACCCCTTGTTTGTTCCTTGCTGCTATGCTGAAAAGTAGATTAGACATAAAGTTATTTTCGTGGTCTTAAACTGTTTTAGTAAAAGAAGACTCGTCGCAGAACATTCATTTCTTTAGATGATATATCCTTTTGTTCTGAGTATAATAACTAAGTGAAATGGAAAAAATTTTTTCTTAGATAATCCAACCCAGTCTCTGACAGGAATATTACCCTTAGGAAACACTCCAATATTTTAAAACAATGTTTTGTTTGAAAAAGAAAGGAGGCCTGGAGGGAGGATTTTGCCCTTGAACTTTTGGCCCCCAGAGGAATGTTCACTCAGCCCTGCAGATGTGGGCCAAGAGCAGCTCTGATTTCTTCAGGGTTTCAAAGGGAAAACTGGTATTTTTTTTTCTGCTTTTAGAAATGATTTCTTAATATAAAGAAATGCATGTTTAAAAACTCAAGTAGACAATGGTCGGTTTGGTTTTTACTTTAAAAAAAAAACAAAAAAAAACGAGTCCTTACACTATTGAGAAAAAAAGTAACAGAATTACTTTGTGCTTGATGTTGAAATTCAAACACCAGCTGCACTGTCTAAAGGGACGTATGTGGGTGCCAGAGCACTCTGAATTTCACCATCGCTATTCTGAATTGTGTTATTATTCCTCTGCTTTTGGTGGTCTCAGCCTCCAGAAGGGATGCAGCGCTGAACCAGGCATTTTCTCTTCATCATCTGGCCCCTATCCAGGTGTGACAGCCAGATCAAAATTTCTGGGCACAGGCAATGAGCTGATGACCAAATTTTTCAAGCCCCCGGCATATTAGCCTGCTCCCAGGGCAGGATGCTTACATGGCAGCCCTGATGTAAAGACATAATTACCCATTCTATTTAACAGAGGATTCTGAGCGTTTTGTACCCATTATGGCTTTTTAGCTAGAAAGCTGCAGATGGTTTCTGAAGTACTTTCCCCTCTTCACTGAAAAAGAGTTTTGGGCCAGAGGCTGAATGTTGGTGCCTTTCCCCTAAATTTGTCTTTGGCTTCTCCATTGTTTTGTATATTGTTCCAGACCAAAAAAAGAAAAAAGGCTTCTCAAAAATACATTTTCATGGTGCAGAAATCTGCATTTTTGTAACTCATGTGGTTCTTCTCATTATAACTCATTTTATAAAATCACTGTGAATAGTCACCCACGTATTTCCTACCGTTTCCCACAGATTAGTTTACGGAAAACTGAAGGAAGGTCTTGGAGATATACTCTCTGTGCTCAAAACCGTTTGGGTTTAATTATTAAATATCTTTAAAATGTTTAGAATGTATAAATTTTAAATATTTGCAGCTTTATTACACATTAAACAGATTCATAAGAATAGAAAATGTATTTAAGGTGTAAGGAATAATGATCTGTCACCCAATTTAAGGAAAAGAATGTTACTATTACCTTTGGAGTAATAGTACTTTAATCCCATCTCCTTTACTTTCAAATAACAGCTATACTAAATTTTGTGTTTATCATTTCTTTACATATACTGTATTTTTTATTACATATATTTGTACCCAACAAAATATATTTAGTTTTGTGTTTTTGAAAATATGTATACATAAGTGGAGGATATTATAGGTATTTCTTCTCCTGTAAAATGACTGTTTAAAGCTTATGCCTCCCTTTTTTAAATAGCAGCTTCATTGAGCTATAATTTGTATACTGTAACGTGCATTCCTTTAAAGCGTGTAATTCAGATGTTTTGAGTACATTCACAAGGTTGTGCAGCCATCACCACCATATAATTTCAGAACATTTTCATTGCCTCCAAAAGAAACCAGTGCCCATCAGCAGTCACTCTCTAACCCCCCTTTACCTTAGCTCCTGGCAACCACTAATCTACTTTCTGTTTTTATGGATTTGCCTATTCCAGACATTTCATAAAAGTGGAAATATACAGTATGAAGCCTTTTGTGACTGTCTTCTTTCACTTAGTATGTTTTCAAGGTTTATCCATGTTGTAGCATGTATGAGTTCTTCACACATTTTTATGGCCAAGTAATATTCCATTGTATGTATATACCATGTTGTTTATTCATCAGTTTATGGACATTTGGGCTGTTTATACTTTTTGGCCATTGTGAATAATGCTGCTGTGAACATTCATGGACAAGTTTTTGTGGGGATATGTGTTTCAGATCTCTTGGTAATATAACAAAGAATGGAATTGCTGGGCTATATGGTAACTCTAGCTTTATCATTTTGAGGAACTGCCAAAGTATTTTCTAAATTGGCTGCACCATCTTACATTCCCACCACAATGTATGAGGATTTCAATTTCTCCACATCCTCATCAATACCTTTTTTTTTTTCAATATTAGCCATACTAGTTGGTATGAAGTGGTATGTCAGTGTAGTTTTGATTTTTATTTCCTTAATGCCTACTGATGTTGAGCATCTTTTAATGTGTGTATTTGTCATTTGTATAGCTTCTTTGGAAAAACACCTGTTCAGATCCTTTGCTTATTATGTTGTCTTTTTATGGCTGTAAATGTTCTTTATATATTGGGGATAGAAGTCCCTTAGTGGATATTGTCTTAGTCCATTATGCTATGACAGAATCCCACAGACAGGGTAGTTTGTAAAGAACAGACATTTATTTCTCACAGTTATGGAGACTGGTAGTCCAAGATCAAGGCACCAGCATTTGGTGTCTGGGAAGGGCTGCATGCTCTGGAGTGGAGGAACGCTGTGTCTTTACATGGCAGAAGGCAGAAGGGCAAGAGGGGCAAACTCCCTTTATAAACCTCTTCTGTAAGAGCACCTAATCCCATTCTCAAGCAAAGAGCTCCCGGGCCTAATTACCTTCTAAAGGCTCCACCTCTTAATACTTTCACACTGGCAACACCTGCATTTTGGAGGAGACACATTCAAACCATAGCAGATGTATTGAAATGTTTTTTTCTCAATCTTTGGATTGTTTTTTCCCTTTCTTAATGATATCTCGTGAAGTAAAAATAATTTTTCATTTTGATGTCACCCAAGTCACTTACTTTCTTTTGTTAGTTGTGCTTTTGGTGTCATATCTAAAAAAAAAAAAAAAGAAACAATGTATAATCCAAAGTCCTGAAGAGTGTTTCAATGTTTATCTTCTAAGAGTTTTGTAGTTTTAGGTCTGTGATTTATTTTGAGTTAATTTTTGTGAATGGTATAAGGTAGGGGCCCAACTCTATCATTTCCCATGTCTGTATTGAAGTGCACCAGCACTATTTTGAAGAGACTATTCTTTTGCTGTGAATTATCATGGTGCCCTTATTGAAAATCATTTGGCCATAAGTGTAAGTTTGTTTACTGTCGATTCTTTTCCATTGATCTACATGTCTGTATTTTATGCAAGTACCACATTATATTGATTACTGCAGCTTTGTATTAATAGTTTAGAAACTGGAAATTTGTGCTTCTTTTTCGAGATTGTTTTAGCTATTCTGAGTCCTTTACATTTCCATATGAATTTTAGGATCAGACTGTCTATTTCGGTAAAACATCCAGCTGGGATTTTGATAGGAATTGTGTTGACTCCAAACCTCAGTTTGGACAGGATTGGAGAGTATTGACATCTTAACAGTATTAAGTCTTCTAATTCATGAACATGGGTTGTCTTTCCATTTATTTGGGTCTTTTTAAATTTCTATCAACAATATTTTGTAGTTTTTAATATATAAGTCTTGTACTTTTTTAAATGTTTATTCAAAGTATTTTATTCTTTTTAATGCTATTATAAATGAAATTGTTTTAATTTTGGATTATTTATTGCTAGTGTATAGAAATATAATTGCTTTTTGTATATTGATTTTTTTTTTGTACTGCAGCCTGGCTGAACTGGCTTATTTGCTCTAATAATTTTTTGGTAGATTACTTAGGATTTTTATGTACAATGTTATGCCATCTGTGAATAGAAGTAGTTTTATTTCTTCCTTCCCAATCTGGAGGCCTTTTATGTATTTTTCTTGCCTAGTTGTCCTGGCTAGAGCCTCTAGTACAATGTTGATCTTAGGATGACACCCAAGTCACTTACTTTCTTTTGTTAGTTGTGCTTTTGGTGTCATATCTAAAAAAAAAAACAATGTATAATCCAAAGTCCTGAAGAGTGTTTCAATGTTTATCTTCTAAGAGTTTTGTAGTTTTAGGTCTGTGATTTATTTTGAGCTAATTTTTGTGAATGCAATTCACAACATAAACAGAAGCAAAAACAAAGACCACATGATTCTCTCAATAGATGCAGAAAAAGCTTTTGACAAAATTCAACAGCCTTTCATGATACGAACACTTAAGAAAATAGGCATAGAAGGGACATACCTAAAAATGATACAAGCCATATATGACAGACCCATAGCCAACATCATACTGAATGGGGAAAACTGAAAGCATTCCCACTTAGAACTGGAACCAGACAAGGCTGCCCACTATCTCCACTTCTATTCAACATAGTGTTGGAAGTCCTGGCTACAGCAATCAGACAGGAAAGTGGAATTAAGGTATCCAAATAGGGCAGAAAGATCAAATTTTCACTGTTTGCTGATGATATGGTATTATATTTAGAAAACCCCAAAGAATCAACCAAGAAACTCCTGGAACTGATCAATGAATTTAGTAAAGTCTCAGGATACAAAATCAATACACAGAAACAGAGCATTCATATATGCCAACAACAATCTAATTGAGAACCAAATCAAAGACTCAATTCCCTTCACAATAGCAATAAAGAAATTAAAGTACCTAGGAATATACTTAACCAAGGACGTAAAAGACCTCTACAGGGAGAACTATGAAACACTGAGGAAGGAAATAGCAGAGGATGTAAACAGATGGAAATTCATTCCATGCTCGTGGATCGGCAGACTCAACATCATTAAAATGTCTATACCCAAAACTGATCTACAGATTCAACGCAATACCTATTAAAATCCCATCAGCATTCTTCACAGATATAGAAAAATAATTTTACGCTTTGTATGGAACCAAAAAAGACCCGAATATCAAGAGCAATTCTAGGCAACAAAAACAAAATGGGAGGTATTAATATGCCAGATATCAAACTATACTACAAAGCTGTAGTAATTAAAACAATCTGGTATTGGCACAAAAATAGGAATATTGACCAGTGGAACAGATGTGAGAATCCTGATATAAAACCATCCTCATATAGCCATCTAATCTTTGACAAAGCAGACAAAAACATACACTGGGGAAAAGAATCCCTTTTCAATAAATGGTGCTGGGAAAACTGGATAGCCACCTGTAGAAGGCTAAAGCAGGACCCACACCTTTCACCTCTCACAAAAATCAACTCACGCTGGATAACAGACTTAAACCTAAGGTATGAAACTATTAGAATTCTAGAGGAAAACGTTGGAAACACTCTCCTAGACATCGGCCTAGGCAAAGAGTTTATGAAGAAGTCCCAAAGGCAATCACAGCAGCAACAAAAATAAATAAATGGGACATGATGAAACTAAAAAGCTTCTGCACAGCCAAAGAAACAGTCATGAAAGTAATCTGGAATTTTCTTTGCAGGAATTTTTCCTACCAGTTCAATCTCTTTACTTATTGTAGGTTTATTCAGGTTTTCTGTTTCTTCTTAAGTCAGCTTAAGTAGTTAATATCTTTCTAGAAATTTATCCATTTTGTAATGGCAACAGTAATGTCCCCCTTTTCATTTCTGATTTTAATAATTTGAGTCTTCTTTCCTTTTTTCTTGATGGGTCTAGCTAAAAGTTTGTCAATTGTATTGATCTTTTCAAAGAACCAACTTTGTTTTGTTGATTTTCTGTTTTTCTGTTCTCTAATTTATTCTACTTTTTGTCTTTTGATTGGAGTGTTCATTTACTTTTAATGTAATTATTCACAAAATAGGAGTTACATGTGCTATTTTGCTGTGGGTTTTTTCCATGGGTTATTCCATTTTTTTGTTTGTTTTTGTCTTTTGTTTCTCTGTTTCTCCAATATGCTTTTTGTATGTGTTAAATATTTCTAGTGTACCATTTTAATTCCAGTGCTACTTTTACTCTATCTTTTTAGTGATTGCCCTGGGATTTTTTTAAAACAATCTAGTCTGGATTAATGCAAATTTAATTTCAACAATATACAAAAAATTTACTTTGGTATATTCCATTCCGTTTCCCTTTTTCTGTGCTATTACTGTCATGCAAATTACAACTTTACACATTATAAGCCCAAGAACACAGTTTTATAATTGTTGCTTTGTGCAGGTTGTCTTTTAAATCAAATAGAATAGTTACATACAAAAATATAGTCATACTGTTGTTTTTTTTTATATTTACTTTTGTAGTCACATCTACCAGTGCTTTTGATTTCTTTAGGTGGATTTGAGTTATTCTCAAGTGTGTATGTAAGCCTTAACCTGTAGGTTAAGTGTCTATCCAATGAGCATTTTCTTTGAGCATAATGTGAACACTCAAAAAGTTTAAGATTTTGGAACATTTTGGATTTCAAATTTTTGGATTAGAATGTTCAACCTGTATTTCTAGTAGAGCAGGTCTCTGCTAGCAACAGATTCTTTCAGATGTTGTTTATCTGGGGATGTCTTAATATCTCCATTTTTGAAGGTTGATTTTGCGGAATATAGAATACTTGATCTTTCTTTCAGCACTTTGAATATATTATCCCACTGCCTCTGCCCTCCGTAGTTTCTGATAAGAAGTCAGTTTTAGATCTTACTGAGGAACATTTTTGTATGTGATGAGTCACTTTTCTCTTTCTGCTGTTGTGCTTCTTTGCCATGACTCTTTGTCTTTGTCTTTCGACAATTTGAGTATGATGTTGTTAGGTTTGGATCTCTGAGTTTATCCTACTTGGAATTTGTTGAGCTTCCTGGATGTGCAGATTAGTGTTTTCATCAAATTTGTGATATTTTCAGCCATTCATTCTTCAAATATTTTGTCTGTTTCTTTCTCTCTTTTTTTTATGGGACTTCTATAATGTATATGTTGGAATGTTTGATGGTGGTCCACTAATCTCTGAGGCTGTGTTCATTAGTCTTCATTTCTTTTTCTTTCCATTTCTCAGACTGGATAATCTTAATAGATCTAGCTTAAGTTTGCTGATTCTTTTGCCATCTCCTATCTGCAAAGGTAAGCCCTCTAGTGCATTTTTTCATTTCAGTTATTGTACTTCTCTAAAATTTCTAATTGGTTCTTTTTTATAATTTCTATCTCTTTATTGATACTCTCAATATGGTGAGACGTTATTCACATACTATCCTTTAATTCTTTAGATATGGTTTCCTTTAGTTCATGAAATATGTATAATTGCTAATTTAAAGTCTTTGTCTAATAAGTGCAATATCTGGGCTTCCTCAGGAACAGTTTTTATTGACTGCTTTTTACCCCGTATTAGGGCCACACTTTTCTGTTTCTTGGTGTATCTAGGGATCTTATGTTGAGAAATGGGCATTTTAAATATTATAATTTAGCATAAATGGAAATCACATTTTCCCCTCTTCAGGGTTTGTTGCTGCTTGTTTCTGTGGTTGTCACTGCTGCTGCTGATCTTTGTTCAGTTACTTTCCTGAACTAATTCTATAAAATCTATATTGTCATGTGTGGCCTGGCCACTGAAGACTGTGTGCAGTAAGTTTGGTTATTAGTGAATGATTGAATTAGCTAGTGATTTCATTTAATGCCTGGTACCAGTAATTTTCTTTTCTCTTTGCCAAGTGGCTCTGTGTGAGTGTGGGGGGAGGGATGTATTTAGCACCCCAGCAGGCAGTTCTTGGCTCTTCCTCAGCCTTTTCATCTTGCTTATACAAAACCTCAAGGTCACTGAGAGGTGAGGCATTAAGGTGTTTTCAGGTCTTTCCTGGCCATGTGCCCTGTCCTACACATGCACATGGCATTCTATAAGCTCAGGAATATATTGGAACTTTTTAAAGCCCCCATGGACATCTCATTTCCTATTTTTTTTCTTTTCAGTCTTTTGGTTAACCTCTTGTTAACCTCTACTGGTACCACTGCCTCCAGCAGCTACAATCTTAAATAATTCCTGCCAGTTGCTTTCAGCAGATGCTTTGGTGATGGGGCTGTTTGCATAGTGTGAGCTTTGAGTGTGAGGTTAAAAAATGACAAATCCTAAGCATGGAGCTTTTCCTGGGAGTTAGACTGTCCTTTAATGTTATCTTTTAATGCCATTCTCACTTTTAAACATCTTGAATGTATCACTATTTTTCTTTATATTTTGTGCCTTTTAATTTCTTATTTATGAAATTTCTCCTTACTCTGAGGTTATCTAGATTTTTTTTTCTGATAAGGTGGTACTGTTGGCATTTTCATTTTCCACCTGGAATTGATTTGTATGTGGTATGATTAGGGTTTCAATTTTATGTTTTTCCATATGGATAGCCTGTTGTACCAGCCCCATTTATTGATATTCTCACCTTATTAATTTGCTTGGCCAGCTCTATCATAGGTCTGTTTTTGAATAGGCAAAGGTCTGTTTCTAAACTCTTTATTTTGTTCTGTCGGTTAGTTTTTCTTAGCCTATGCCATAATGTCACCTTCTTCAAAAGTGTTTTGACTGTTCCAAGTCTTTGTTCTTCCATTGAATTTATAGCTCAAATGGGAGAGAACTGACATCTTTAAATATTAATTCTTCCAAATTATGAATATGATAGTGTAGGTTTTCTTTACTGTCTTTCAGAAAAGTTCTATCATTTTATCCATGTAAATCTTAACATATCTTAAAGTAGATTTGTTCCTAGAAATATTATTTGTAAGCTATTGAAAATGGTATTTTTAAGAAATTATTTCCTAATTGTTATAGGTGGTTGGGGACAGAGTTCCTTTTTGTGTCCTGTGTATATTTTGTATTTTGATTTTGTGTTCGACAAACTTTATTAAACTCATTAATTCTCATAATTTAAGTTCTGTTGAGTCATCTATACAATCATGTAATCTGCCAGTAATAACAGTTTTCTTTTGTCCTTGCCAATCCTCATGGATTTATTTTTCTTGACTTACTATGTTATCAGGGACCTCCCACTAAAAAGAAGTGATAGCAGGACCTTTTGTCTTATTCCTGATCTAAGGCAAACACTTTCAGCATTTTATCATTATGTATGACTTTTTGTAGGTTTTATGTAGCAATCGTTTATCAAGTTAATGAAGTCCACTTATATTCCTAGTATTATAAGAATTTAGTTTTTTAAATCATGCATGGATATTGGATTTTATCATGCTGCTTTAAACTAATTAAATTTTTTAAAATTACGTTTTATTTCTCTCTTTAGCAAAGAAGTTTGTAATCCTGATATCGGCGGCAAGATTATAATGTGTCCTCAATGTGATAGGCTTTGTCCATTCTGGAAACTCAATATTACTTGCGAGTCCTCAAAGGTAATTTTTGTTATTCCAAATTGTTACACATATTAAAAGCCTTTTTTCTTCTTATAATTTAGGTATAGAAATTGTATCTTATTTCCTCTGAGAAATTCAGAAAGGTATTTTTCAACTAAACTACCAAACATTCTGGATGGCAGTTATACAGTGAATGTGTTTTTCCTTTTATAAATAATAATTTGAGATTCAAAGCCTTATTTAAAATCTCATGGAGGGTCAGTGAGGAAATGGTAGAATCAAAACCTTTTATTTCAAGTAATCAAAGTAGGAATCTCAAACCCAGTTTATGAATACTTCTTAATAGATTTACTATTAATGTGTTACAGGTTGAGTATCCCTTAATCTGAAATGCTTAGGACCAGAAGGGTTTTGGAATTTGGGGTTTTTTTTCAGATTTTGGAACATTTGCATTGTACTTACCAGTTGGGCATCTCTAATCCAAAAGTCTAGAATTTGAAATGCTCCTACAAACATTTGTTTTGAAGTATGTCGATGCTCAAAAAGTTTTGGATGATTTTGACGCATTTCGGATTTCAGATTTTTAGGTTATGGATACTCAACCATTGTATTTTCCTTAATTCAAGTATGTAGAAATTTGTGATTTGTATTTGTGTTTTCCCCCTCTTTCAAAGTGTGCTGAAACTATGCTTGAGTTGTTAAAGACCCTGCTGGTCAGATTTAGACTATATCTATAAATATGCATAAGAAAGATTTTATCTGTAAGTGATAAAAGGTATTTGTCTCACAACATTCCCACAAAACACATCTGGGTTTCCTTATACAAGCAGATGGTCTTGAGCTCTATGACTTCGTAAAATCCAGGGGGTTTAGAATAAGTATTGAAAAGGGAGGGAGCTTACTGAAAGCAGGCTAGAAATTCTAGACAGAAAGAAAGATGATCAGCTTACTTCAGAGCATTTTCCTGACATATTGTTCCCTTTTGTTATGAATATGGTCTTCTCCCTACACCCTTGTTCTGCCATGAGAGTTTAGGAATCGTTATATGGCCCTAGGACACTTTGATCTACTCCATGTAAGTCTGATTTTTAACTGAATGTATTGCTGTTATAGGGATGCCACTTTATATTTTATACTTTGCAAAGTTCTTGTAATTACCAGTGTTGGCACACAACTCGGTGAGATAGGAGGGACCGGCATTTTCTCCATTTTACAGATTAAAATACTGAGGCTCTCAGAGATTAAATTTAATGTTATCAAGATCACCCACCTAGTAACTGGCAAAGCCAGAAAGTTACGGCATTCCTTGGCATTAACGTACCACGTCTAGTGGTACCAGGCACTTCACTCTCAAATCAGCTCTATGTTGGAAAAATTGCTCCACCGCTTAGTTAAACTGATTGCAGGGTGTTGTCAACACATGGACGTTTATACTTAATTTATGAATTAAAATAGATTTCATTGCCTCCTCCCCCAAACCAACAGATTCTATGCTATGAATATCTGTTGTAGATCACACAGAGTAAAAGGTTTGAAGTTAGTAAGAGGGAAGCCGCCTTCCAGTGAAGTTGGCTCATAGATTAAAGATCACCAGTTAGCACACTTCCCTGAGGCATTGGATTTAGGGCAAATGCCAATGATAATACCAAAGGCAAATTTTACTCCACAAAAGTACCAGTGGAGATCCCATTTTCCTCAAGAAGTTCTCTCCCCGGCACTCCCCAGCCCCACCTTGTCACTCTCTCATTTCTCCTGCTCCACCTACCCATCCTCAAGCACACGACTTTCAAATATGTCCTGGTGTACGTTCCATTTTGGTAAAAATGAATCTTTGATTCTATTCTAGTTTCCTGAAGGATCCTTTGAGTCTTGTCAGAGTGATTTACAAAGGGAAAAGAACATGGAGTATGAGTAAAAGGATGAAATGGGGAAAAAAAAGTTTAAGAGAAAAAGAGTACTTTTTCTGGCTTTTCTATTTGTTGGTTAATTCAATTATTTCTTCACTCATACATTTATTTATATATTCATTTCTACCTTTTTCTTTTGGAAAGAGATAGACTACTCACTAATTGGCATGTATGCTAAAAGAGCTAAAAAATTAGAAATAGAAATATGATATCAGGACCGAGGAAGGGGGTTGATATTGTTTTTGTGATTAAGAATTGAATAGGTTCTTAGCTTTCTGGATGGGAAGATAAAAGGGAGACATGATAAGTTCTAATAATTTGTTCTTAAAAGCACATTAAGTTATAAAATTCTGATTTTGCTTCTTTGCAGGAAGAAAGCAAGATTCTGATTGGTTTCAGTGCTTGAAATCATCATGCCTTCATAGGCAGCTTTCTCTTTTCTTTCCTGCACCATGGGACTAAAGCAGTGTGCTAACTCAGGGCTGCTATTAACACAACCCAGCTGTCTTGTCCTCTCTCTGCCATCCTGCCAAGCAAGCCAAGCTAGGCAAGAAAGCCCCTTGCTTACCTTCTCCCCTAATTCCTACTTCCATGTAGCTCCTGGAACACAGAGCAGAGAAGCCAGCCATATTTATTCTTTCTCTTGGGATCTTGACTCTCACACACATGGCAAGAATGCTGACTTCATCCAGGCCTAACTTCTCATAGGAGTGTAAGGCATGATCTTTGCATTGAGCTAGGCATTTGGGGTGATCTTGTCATTGGCAGTAAACCTACTGTTTCTTGCTGCTCCTGTTTTCTTTCTAGCACTGACAGATGTGTTTCCATTGACTTTTTCTCACAAGAGTAGAGCTAAGAATACACAGGTGGGATTCTTTCTGTCTGTGGCGGGCGGACAGAGGCATCAGCGCAGGTAGGATGGTATCAGAGAGAGAGGCTTGCATTGATTCCTAAAACAGGAGTGGCATTGGGCAGAATCTTCAATAATAATAGCATTATAACCTGCAGGACTAATTTTCATAGGACTTTTCTTACAATAACTTGCAATAAAGGCTAAGGTGTAACATTAAAAGATAAGTTGGTGACGATGGTGACGATAGGAGTCAAAGCTAAAAGATTTGAAATTCGTGGTCTGTGGAGTCCCAGGACTAGAGGAGTAGGTGGAGAGCATTGTTCCCCAGAGCAGTCCCACATTTATTAATTCTGTCTCCCTTGAGCAGGATTTTTGAGAAGAATAATTGGATGACAGGCAATTTGGGGTTGTGCTTTCTGATCAAGGTCCATGTGGATGATTGAGGGGGTATCTATATGCTTTGGAAACAGATGGATGACAAGGTGGATATTCTTTAATAAAATAACATAACTAAAGTTATTACATAGGTGAAAGCTCATCCACTTTACATGAGGATAAAGGGCAACCCCCCAAAATTACCTTAAAACAAAGTAGACTTCCTACTTAGAAGTAGCTTTGCATTTTCTTTAGCATTTAAAGTTTGCTTTTTCTATCTATAGCTTCTTTTTCTACCCCATCCTTGTCTTCTTTATATTTCATAGGACGTATCATAAAGTAAACATAATATGCTTGCCACTTTTTCCATTATCTTTATGGATCTCTTTTTAGGAAACTAAAAATGCTCACTAACAAAAAATTAGTATTAACTTTTTCCTGAAAGATTTTCAAGGAAATCATAGAGATAGGCCACTTACATACTAGCAAAGAGATAAAAATGTAGTAGAACTAGTTAATAGAGCCTTCTTTGGACAGATATGTTATTTATCATTCATGATCATTGTACTAATTGTAATATTAGCAAAAGCACCTGGGCATCCTTTATTTCAATGGAAGTATCTGTCAGGGACAGTAGAAAAGCCATCATTGGGTTTGAAGAAACAGAGCTTTCCTGGAGTCTTAGGGTTGAACTTCTCTTAACAAGAAAAGCAGGAATTCTGGAATTTACTCTCTGACCTGATAAGATGTAAATCTTAAATCTAGAAGTTGCCTTGAGGTCACTGTATTTTTAGAGCCATACTACTTCCTCCAATTCACTGTGACAGCTCATAAAATGAGGCTGTGATTCAAGCCTAATAGAGGCTTTAAACTGAGTGGAATTTTAGCAGCTACACCTATTTCTTTATCCCAATATGGAAAGTTCCATTGGAAAATGCACCCTGGTTAATACAGCACTATAGAGAGTGAGACATGACATCTATGAGCATGTAGTAGATATGGTGATTGTTAAACTAGGTATCAGTTTAAAAAGAATTTCAGACTATAGAATATACAAAGCATTTCATAGTTACTGAATTCTAATAAGTGGAGAACGTGATTCATTTATATGTCATTATTGTATCTTCCAGCAATTGTGCATCTTTGACAGTTTTGGAACCCTGGTCTTTGCAGTATTTATGGGGGTATGGGGTAAGTTATTTTTATTTTTTTCATGCACTCAATTGAATAATATTATACAGTTTTATGTAGGATATCAAAGTAACCCACTTTTAGGGCCTTGGATTGCCCAAGCTTCAACTACTCTAGAACTCTATTTATAACTCTGAGGACATTATATCAGTTAGCTTTTACTAGCTAACTAGGTAATATAAAAACCTAGCTCACAATATAATGGCTTCAAACAACAAACCTGATTTCTCATTTTATTATTTCTCATCATTCTCTGGGTCAGTGGTGAGGATCTTCAGGCACAGGCTGGCTCACTGATCTCTGCAGTGAGCTGGCAGCCCCCCTGGGGCTATATGGTCAGGCAGCCTGGTTTGGTCTGTGGGGCTCAGCTGGGCAGACTTTCCTTTGCTCCACATAGGCTCTCGTCCTCCCATAGGCTAGCCCAAGATTCTCACGTGGTTTCTGGGTTCCAAAGAGAAGCAAGAGAGGACAAACTCCAGTGCATAGATGTTTTTTAAACCTGTGGTTGCATCAAGTTTGCTCATGTCCCATCAGCTAAAGTAAGTCACGGCCAAACCAGCATCAGTGTGGAGAGGTGGGAGTACTGCCCAGTGGCTTGGATCCAGGTAGCATGATTCATTTGAAGCCATTATTACAACAATCCCCATAGCTGGGATCCAACCTAATTTTTATGGGGGTGGGGATGGGGGTGGGAGGAAGCAGCAACACAGTGATTCTGGGTGAGCTTTCTTCTTTATACACTTCGATATGAGTGAATATTTAATAAGTCTGTGCTACTCTTATAATAACAACAACTTTTATCTACTAAGTAGAGCAGATATAATTTCTATATAGCAGCTTTAACATTGTGCATGTTATCTGTATAGCATCATTAATATAAGGAAGCAATTGTCATTTTCTTTAAATGCAGCCTTTTAAATGTTTAATTGACGTAAATGTTCCAGGAGTGAAAAAGAAATTTCCATTTTCAAAAATAAGTGTATTCCCAATTTCATTGTGTAAGTCTGGGGAACAAGAGAGTTCAGGTTATAGGAAGGTGGAGGAAGAAACCGAATCGGGCCTCTTGTTCTTGAGAGGACGACACATCAGCACGTGTAACTCACAGAGACAGTTATTTAGGTGTCCTCTGCCCTGGTTTTCTTTGGCAGTGGTTGTGCCTATGGGTCACCATGTGGATCACAGAACAGACAATCCAATTATTTCATACATTCTTTCAGAGATATTAGTTGCCACTCCTCATAAAGTGCCCCGTAAGGTGGCAAGACTTTCCGATAAGCTACATCGGCATTCAGCGTTGAGCATACGTTGGCTGGAGACCAAACTCTGGCCTAACACCTGACACACACAAGAATAAAGATCAAATGTATGTATTAAGATCCTCTGCACTCTTCCATTGTAAAATACATCATTTTTTTTCCAGTAAGAGCTTAGGTGCTAAACACATGAGTCAGCACTTTTAACTATTATCTTCACTGTACTCCCAGCACTGATTTGTAATCTGTAAAATTCTGTAATAGCACATCTATTGAACTCTGTATGCTAATGGATGCTGATAGCCCTAATATAAAGAAGATATTTGAAATAAAGCAAATATATAAAACTTCGGACACTGGAAAGGCAGACCTCAAATTTCCTTTCTCTGATCATAACACCGTGTTTATAGAACTAACATATGCATTGGCAGCTGATTTTATTTCATTTGATTTTAGAATGCAGAAAACATTTCATTACTGCTTGTGGCATCATATGTATGTCTTTAAGGATATATATGTATGAGAAACATTTTATTTTAACTGCTTTATGTTGCTTTCCTTGTTATTTCTGCCTTATGAGAGCTACTGCTGGGAACCAAGTTACAGAAGGTAGGAAATTGCAAAACTGAACAGGCAGAAGGCTTGTGTGAAATTATTCATATCACCATCATCATATTCCTATAGCATCTCCTTTGTGTCCAGATGCATATGGCACTTATTTTTCTGCTTCCTAGAAATTATAAAAGTTGACATATTGAGAGTAGAAAACCTTTTATAATGAATATAAAACAGTCATATACTTATCTGAAAAATATCCACCCTTTTAGGCCAAGGCAGCCCACCAATTCAAAGTGACTTGTAGATTCCTTACCTACGTCCATCTGATTCTCCCTGGCTCAGCTGCTTGGCTGCATGACTGCAATTTTTAATTTTCACCTTTATGGGTGAGTTCTAAACTAGGTCTAATGATTTCCATAAAAACACCAATCACCTGGCTCACTAAGGAGAGGGTTCTGGAAGCCTGTCCATCTGCAATTAGGGAACCAGGAAACAGCTATTGCTCTGTCCTGCGCTGCTCCTGCTGGATCTGCACCAGCAAAATAATGCAGCTCCTACTGCCACCACCCTCCATTCAACTCAGTTTCTGACTAAATGACACACAGGTGCATCTGATGGCCATTCCAAAAATCACATCTGGGACCCTAGCTGCAAGAGAGTCTGAGAAACACCATTTTAACCTTCTAGTCTTTGAATTAGGAAGTTGCAGTAAAGGCTGAGCAAGCTAATCTATCTTAGCTTCCTTTGTGAGTAAAGAGGTCTAAATAATTTCAAAGCTTATTAAACCATCCCAGGCCTTCAACAGCAAACTCTTATAGCAACCAGAATACTCCCATCTACCGGAGTGTGTCTCTTGTCCCTAGGCATTGCAGGATATAACACCACCAGTGCTTTACTGCTCTGAGCCCCCTTTTTTGTATACAGGCATCTGATGCATGGTTTCTTTAGATGTGTAATAATATCATGATTATTCTAATCATGGCAATTTCTTAAAATAAGACAACAGTGAATATTGCCACATAGATGGACTCTTCCTTTCACAAAAGATTCCTAGGTACATTGTCAATGAACAGTAATATTTTGAAAGGAATCTTTTTTTCCTAAGCAGTTGGTCTCAACAGTGGGCTTAAAATATTCAGTACACCATGATGTAAACAGATGTGCTGTCGTCCAGGCTTAATTGTTCCATTTAGAGACCAAAGGCAGAGTAGGTTTAGCATAATTTTTAAGGACATTGGGATTTGGGGAATGGCAAATGAGTATTGGCTTCCACGTAAAGTCACCAGCTGCATTAGCCCCTAACAAGAGAGACAGCCTGCCCTTTGAAGCTTTGAAACCAGACATTGACTTATCCTCTCTATCTATGAAAGTCCTAAATGGCATCTTCTTCCAATAGAAAGATGTTTTGTTTACACTGAAAATATGTTGTTTACTGTAGCCATCTTCTTAGCTAGATCTTCTGGATAACTTGCTACAACTTCATCAGCATTGCTACTTCATCTTGTACTTTTATCTTATAGAGCTGGCTTCTTTCCTTAAACCTCATGAATCAATCATGCTACCTTCACCCTTTTCTTCTGCAGCTTTCTCACTTGTCTCAGCCTTTATAGAATTGAAGAGACTTAGGGCCTTGCTCTGGATTAGGTTTTGGCTTGAAGGAATGTTGTAGCTGGTTTGACCTTCTATCCAGACCACTAATACTTTCTCTGTATCAATTATAAAGTTGTTTTGCTTTCTTATCATTCATGTGTTCACTGCAATAGTACTTTTAATTTCCTTCGAGTACTTTTCGTTTGCATTAACAACTTGGCTATTGGGTGCAAGAGGCCTAGCTTTCATCCTGTCTTGGCTTTCAACATGCCTTCCTTACTAAATTACTCAAATTTTGATTTAAAATGAGAGATGTCCCACTCTTCCTTTCACTTGAACACTTTGAGGATATTGTAGGGTATTTACTTGGCCTAATAACAATATTATTGTGTCTCAAGGAATAGGAAGGCCTGATGACAGGGAGAGAGATATATAGGGAAATGGCTGGTCAGTGGAGCAGTCAAAACACACACCCAACATTTATTGATTCAGTTGACGATCTTATATGGACATACTTCATGGTGCACCAAAGGGAATTACAATATAACATCAAAGATCACAGATCACCAAAACAGATATAATAATAATGAAAAAGTTTGAAATGTTGTGAGAATTACCAAAATGTGACACAGAGATATGAAGGGAGCATATGCTGTTAAAAAAATGGCTCCAGTAGACTTGCTCAACACAGCATTGCCACAAATCTTCAATCTGCAAAGAACAAACACACACACAAAAACATGGTATCTGCAAAGTGCAATGAAACAGGATGTGCCTGTACAGAGTCCTGAGGGCCCAAGTAGAATGGTATAGCAGAGAGCGGTGGAGAGTGGATGGTCATGCTGAGAGGGGAGCAGTTGGAGCCAGCTGGGACCTCTGAGGGGTTGGTTCCTCAGGTGGAGGGGGTCCTCCAGGTTCTGGCATTGTGTCATTCAATTCATTTATTCAGTGCATTTATTCATTAAGTGCCTGCTATGTGCTAGTGCTTCAGCTGTGAATAAAACAAAATCCTGGCCCCTTGTGAAGGTGACATTCTGGTGCACGTGGTAGATAGTAAGCCTAGAAGCAAATATAGGTCAGGATGCTTGAGACCTACATATTCTGAATAGCAGAAGAGGGGCAGACATAAGGAGTACAGTGTGCCATTTCTGAGAGCACTACCACTGCTTTAGGGGTGGGGGCGTATGCCATACCCATGGTAGAATTGTCTGGTAAGTTAAAAAGTGGGGTCCTGTTGGATGGCAGTCTATGGATGTTTATCATGGAGATGCAGAGCCTAGGGTGCTTTAGTAAGCCAGTGTCATATGTTACACTGCTTCATATGCGACCCAAGGAGGGTTGGCTCATGGGTGGTTCATCCCCCCGCCTGAACCCCAGCAGGGGTCTCTTTTGGGAGTCCCTGCCACATGAGGCCAGCATGGGTCCAATGCCAGCAAGACCAGCCAGTCATAGCCTGGTCCACAAAGTTACCGGATGCCCTGTAGATTTGCATCCCATTGACAGAGGCAGATTCATTTCCCCACAGCAGGAACAAGTGCACAAATGGCTGGGTAGTTTCTCAGCAGTAGAGCCATCATTCTCCATACTCAATACTCAACAGTTTGAACCTGATCTCCGTATCTAGGTTATTACTACTCTAACTTACTGTTTTTGGAAAAGTAGCATTCAAAATAAACACTGCTGGGAACCAGATGCTTTTAAACATTCTAGTTGTCTGCACCACTGGGGGTATCGAGTTCATGCTCTTCACAGCTTCATCCCAGGATTCCTACTGCAGGGTCTGTAGGATTTCATTCTGGCTCTCTTCACCCTCTACTCCAATGATTCAGTGATTCTCAACCCTGACTGCTTCTTAGAGCTTTAAAAAAGAAATAACCAATTAACTCAGAATCTCAGGGGTGGTGCCCAGGCTCAGTGCTTTTTGAAAGCAGCTTGGTGCTTCTTGTGAACTACCACTCTGCACCTCATTTAGTGATCTCATCTGCTCATTGGCCCCGGTTGCCACTTAAAACAATAAAAATCCAGCTCAGCCCAGATCTTCCTCCTGCATTCTAGACTTTCACCTGCCTACCAGGCAGTTCTCCTTGAGTAACCCACATGCACCTGACCATAATCAAACCAGTTGTCTTCTCTCTCCTCTTACTGCACTTCTTATTCCAGGGAATGGCCCTAGAATTTAGGGTATTGCCCAGGCCAGAAACACAGCTGGCATCCTTGACTTCTTCCTGCCCCTTCTATCATCCCTGCCTCCAATCAGTCTACCTGCCCCACATCCCTCAAGTATACCGCCTCATCCTGTACCTGCCAGTAGGGCTCCCTGCTCTAGTCTCACTCTAGACACCTTAAGTGTCTCTTCCACCTGTAAGTTGAACTCCGAACTCCTTTCAAGGCACACAGAGTCCTTTGTGATGTTCCCCTGTGGCTCTTTCACCCAGCTGCCCCTCCCTCATCACACCCCACACTCACTGCCAGACTATTGGCAGTTTGGGGACAGTACCTGGCCCTCTGGCCGCCTTGCTGTAGTGTGTGCAGCTCCATGGGAGGAGTGGCCTTAACATTCCACCTACTACCACCTTCAACTGATGAGCTCTGAGTCATCTCAAGAGTCATCACAGTGGTCCCCTCCTCTGGGCAGGCCTGCCCTGCAGTGTCCGATTCAGGGGTCCTCAAACTTTTTAAACAGGGGGCCAGTTCACTGTCCCTCAGACCGTTGGAGAGTGCGCACTGTGGGCCCGGGACCAGTCGGCTGCTAAGCATTTCAGGCAGCAGCGGCAAAAACACCCGGAGGGCCGGATAAATGTGCTAGGCAGCCCACATGTGGCCGGCGGGCCGTAGTTTGAGGACACCTGGGTTAGATGTTCTGGTTGTGCCAGAACAGCCCGTGCTTACCTTTATCATGGCCTTCTTGCTCATGTGCTATACTGGTCACTTCCAGTACAGTATAATTCCCATGCTCCTAAAAGCTCCTTGAAGCAGGGACTACGTCTTGTTTCTCTTTATTCTCAGTGCATAATAGACAATCAAAAAATATTTGTAGATACCACAGTGGTAATTCCAGAATTCCTATGTAGGAAGGGCTTGGGGGCAACAGTTTGATTGGAAAAGTGGTGTGAGGAGATTTACCCTCAAACTGCGCTTTTCAATTAACATTTAGTGTTTTTATTTAGTATTTGAAGTTACAAATTTTGAAAAAATAATGATTCCTAGAAATTACCTCATTCATACTTTACACAAGATTGAGAAAAATGTCATTTTTCTATATGAAAGACTATTAATTTATTTGGGGAGTTCTAAAGCATTTCCCCCCTTATACCCGCCCCTTAAGAAGGAAGGGAGGGAGGGGAAGGAGGGATGCAGGGGAGAGCAGACAGAAGGATGGACCATGAGCCACTTTGGAATCACGATACCCATTCGTGTTTTTATTGGCTGTAAAGTGCAGGAGCAGATGCTTCAGCGTCAGACATACATGCCTTCTGCCCCTCCTGGCACTGCTTTCCCATAGCTTTTGTCTGTTTCACAAGTGTTTTAAACTATCAACATTTTCTTTAAAAATCATTTTTCTCTTTTAGATATTAGTGTCAGCTATAAATTTGGTTTTATTTACCATATATAAAAGCATTATGGCTAATTAATAGTATTCGGCACAGATTTCTGCCATCGTTGAAGACCCACATGATCCTGTTGTGTCTCTCTCTTTGTTAGTTACCTTGTTTTTGGAGTTTTGGAAGCGGCGCCAGGCAGAACTCGAGTATGAATGGGACACTGTTGAGTTACAGCAGGAAGAACAAGCCCGGCCAGAATATGAAGCACAGTGTACTCACGTGGTGATAAATGAGATTACTCAGGTAAGGCAAAAGCTATCGAGATGTAACTCAGTCTGTTTACTGCAGTGGTTCTCATCCTTGGCTGTCCGTTGGAATCACCTGGGGAGCGTAAAAAATATTGATGCCTGGGTTCCATCAGTACATACGATGACAGTACATGGTAGCCTGGGGTGTGTTCTGAGTGTAGGGATTGTTTAAAGCTCCTCTGCTTATTCTAATGTACAGCCAAGGTGAAGAAGTACTGCTTAGAACAGTGGACCTAGGAGACAAATGTGGTCCCTTCATTCATAATAATACTAAAAATTAAAAAAAATTAGACCATGGTATAGATGTATATGGAAAGATGCATTGGTTTTATAGTTGATTCTCAATTTTTCACATGCTCTTTCATTATTACTGCCCCTTCTTCATCCTAGACTAGCTGCCCCTTTATCTTACACTAAGCCTCAGTCACTGCTCCACCTTCTGGTAGGGATGTGCACAAAAAAATGTGTCTCATCCTAAAGTCAGAAAAAGGATGGACAAGGAAGGGACAAATTACTGAAGCCCACTATGTTCAGGCACTGTGCTTAGGCATTTCATATCATTTGAAAGGTAGATTTGCTGCTGCTACTATGGCTGCAAAAATAAAATATGAAACTGTATCTCTCTTTATATAAATATTCCAAAGCCCCTGAAAGATGATTTTTGAATCATCTGCATTATAGCTTCTTTCCATCAACACAGAAAACATAGAGCTGATTATACTTGTAGTCATCAGCGTAAGAACAGTAGGTTCTGAATATGAACAGCTCTTAGAAAGAAAATACTTTTACCAAGAGCATCTGAAAATGTCCCCAACCATAGATTTTATAAATTGAATCACAGATTTACAAAATGTTGGCACTAAAAAGGACTGGAGGGAACAGTTCAACCTCCTTTTAAAAATGGAAAGAAATGAGGTTCAATTATCAGTACAAGATGACATTTGTCTTTTACAATGTAACTACCTTCAAATTATCCCCATTATGAATAGTTTCTGCTGTTTATTAGTGAAGACAGGGTCAAAGCATGTGTTGGGGAAAGATTATATATTCAGAAATGAAAGCTAAAGTTTAAACAAAAGTAAGTATTCATAAAGTCTTTTGAGTACTAAAAAAAAATAAAAGCTAATAATATCAGCAACATAGGAAAAATATTGAAGAAAAGACCATTGGGTCATTTAAGCCTGCCAATTTTATATTTAAAATTGCCAACTAATAAGTTTCCATTGAAATGTGGCTTGTTAAAAAATTGCAGGTAAAGATTCAGCTTTCTTTATCTTTCTTCCTCATTTCACTTTTATTGCTATTAATATTATATCCTTTATTAATTTAGGAAGGCCTATAGTGTGAGTGTGAAGTATTGGAATGAGACTGCCAGAATTCAAGTCTGAACACGGAAACTTACCAATTGGGTGACCTTGGACAAATTATTTAAGTTCTCTGTGCCTCAATTTCCTTATCTATAAAATGGGAATAATAGACTTGCTTCCTCGTGATTGTGGAAGGATTAAGTGAGTTAATATACAGAACTACTTAGAATAGTACCTGGCACAGAGTAAATAGTATGTAAATGTTTACAGCTATTACCATGCTATAGCTGCTCTTGTAATCCAGGTAAATCATGAAAAGCATTGGTTTCTTCTCTTAAGAATTTAAATATATTCTTATAAACTATAAAACATAAACTCTAAAAATTTGTTATATCAAATTAATGTAATATATAAAACTCAACCAAGAAACACATAGTGGATACCTAGTATTTGCAGACACTTGTGAAACTTTTTGTCCTGCCATTTGTCCAATTATTTCTAAAGCCTAAGACAAACCTAGAAGTGTAGCTTTATAGCATTGACCCATCAGATAACCAAACTCATGAGCTCAAATCATGGCAGATAAACAGTTCATTACTCATGCTTGCATTTTCCAAAACTATTGTTAAAATGAACACTGCACATATTTTACTATATGTGTATTTGAAATTATTTTTAAAAATTGCAAGGAGACTATGCTTGCAAACTATTTTTTAATTAAATTGTGCCTAAGATTTATTGACAGATCAGGAGAAAAATAATTTCATCGGAACAATCCCTTGATTGACTAAAATTTTTTTTTTTTTTAATTAGGAAGAAGAGCGCATTCCCTTTACTACTTGTGGAAAATGTATACGGATAACCCTCTGTGCAAGTGCTGTCTTTTTCTGGGTAAGAGTAATACGATTTTATATTTTTAAAATTATATAATTTTATAATTTGTTATTATATAACAAGCTTTTTAATATTTAATTTTAAATGTTGAGGAAACTAAATGCCAAGCCTAAAAACTATATGGTCTCATAGAAATGTTTTCAGAGAACTATTTGGCCACCCTAAGGAGCAACTCTCAAGGTTCAAAATATATTTATCTGTTCACAGTGGTTCTTCCAGTTCCTTTCACCTCTTCTGTTTAAATCAGGTCAGTGGTTTAGGACTTTGTAGTTTCTAGTGAGAAGACCAAATGAGAGGCACTAAGAATTCTAAAATTTTCCAAAAGCAATAACCAAACTGAAACAACTAGGAATACCTTTAACAAGCAGATAATAGAAGCTATCAAAGGAAACATAAAAACTACTGAAAGACATAAAAGAAGGCTTAAATGAATGGTTCTTGAGAAAAAGACATTATTTCCAAAATATCAGAATTTATTAAATTAATTTTAAGCTTATTAGTAATAAAACCATATTATTAGTAATAAAATAGAGATCATTTTATTGGCTCACGAGCAGCCAGAGTAGAGAATAGAATGTGAGGTTCAAAAATAGGCCCTGATGTCAATAATAGATTAATATACGAGAAGGGAGACATTATAAATCCATGGCATAAGTAGAGATTATTCCATAAATGGTCATGGAATATTGTTAGCTATTCAGGGGGAAAAAATAAAGGTTAAAGTCATACTTGGGACCACATACTATAAGTTTCAGAAACATTAAAAAAAAAAAGCAAAACCATAAAAAACTAATAGATCACATCTTATATTTTCCTGGTTAGAGCTGGAACCCATACTACTAAGTGAAGTATCCCAAGAATGGAAAAACAAGCACCAGATATATTCTCCAGAAAACTGGTATTAACTGAGTAGCACCTAAGTGGACACATAGGTACTACAGTAATAGGGTATTGGGCAGGTGGGAGGGGGGAGGGGGGTGGGTATATACATACATAATGAGTGAGATGTGCACCATCTGGGGGATGGTCGTGATGGAGACTCAGACTTTTGGGGGGAGGGGGGGAAATGGGCATTTATTGAAACCTTAAAATCTGTACCCCCATAATATGCCAAAATAAAAAAAATTAAAAAAAAAAAAAACTAATAGATCGATGAATATATGATCTCTAGATGTAACAAAGACTTTCTAAACTTACTAGCAATGGAAGAAGTTTCAGAGGAAAATATTTAAAGATATCCATACATCAAAAGAATCCTAAGTTTAAACAAAACACCAGAAGAATTATTTATTAACAAGTAGGGCAAAGAGAGAATCCACATCACCTGGAAGATAACACCAAAGATCTCAGTAGCTAGAATAGAGAACATAAATACACATGTATAAAAGAAAAAATGTAATGTCTAATAAGTGTGAAAAAATGCCCAACCTTAATAGTAATTAAACCCATGCACATTTAAATGAGATAGTTTTTCATCTGTCAGGTGATAGGGCTCAGTGTTTGTGAGGATGAAGTGTAGCAATGAGCTACACTCATATGAGGTTATTGGAACTTTACATTGCTCCAGCCTTCCTAGAAAGCAGTTTGGCAATATGTATCAAGAATCTAAAAAATATTCACATGCTTTAATCTATTAATTTAACTTTTAGAAACATTCAGTCTCAAAATATTTCAAAACAATAAAGATCAGTAAGATGTATTCAGTTACCACATTATGCATATGTATGGATGGATATATACACACACAGACACGTATATATCTACATAAATATCTATCTCAGTCAAAACATCCTACTTTCCGCCGGGCGCAGTGGCTCACGCCTGTAATCCTAGCACTCTGAGAGGCCAAGGCGAAGAATCGTTTGAGCTCCAGAGTTCGGGACCAGCCTGAGCAAGAGTGAGACCCTGTCTCTACTAAAAATAGAAAGAAATTAGCCGGACATGGTGGCGCATGCCTGTAGTCCCAGCTACTCTGGAGCCTGAGGCAGAAGGATTGCTTAAGCCCAGGAGTTTGAGGTTGTTGTGAGCTAGCTGATGCCACAGCACTCTAGCCCAGCAACATAGTGAGACTGTCTCAAAAATCCTACTTTCCACCCTTCATACAGTGGAATATTATGCATGCCATGAAAAAAATGTGCTTATGAAAATATGTTATGGCATGTAGAAATGTTTATGGTTTATGATAGGTTTAAGGGAAGGATAAAATTAATATGTAAAGTGGTTTTAACTATGCAAAAATGCATAGCTCTGAAGGAATTATGGTTACATGTTGTAGATAATAGTAAATTTTTTCCTATTTTTATATTATTTTTATAGTTAGGAGTCTTTCAATTGTAGGTGACAGAAAATCAATCTCCAATTGGTTAAACAACAACAAAACGGGAAGGGTGGGATTTATTGGTTCCTGAAACTGAAAATTCCAGATCTGAGGTGTGGTTTCAGTCAAGGCCAGTTACCGCAGACCAGACAACCTGAAGGGCTGTGTTTTGTTCTGTCTTCATTCTGCCTCAGGTGGGCTCCCAGCACGTGGTGGGTAGGCACTCCCTTACGGTAGCAAGATGGCTGCAGCATTCCATATCTCACATCATATTCAAGCAAACAAAGGCTTTTTTTACTGGCTTCATCTATTGATAGGGAAAGCTTGTCTTTACCATAGGCACTAACATTTGTCTCCTCAGATCTTAAGAGCTTTTACTGGGTTATGTATCAATCCCTGAATCAGTTGCTGAGGCCAGAGGGATAAGATACTTTTTTTTGTCTCAAAGCAATGATGATTTACCTCTGGAGCACAGTGGGGGCAATCCCACCCAATCCCAGGGCTGAAAATAGAGGGGTTATTCTCCCCAGTGCAAAATCTGGGTCCTCTTCTAGGATAGAGATAGATCCAGGCCAGACTCTGTCTCTAAAAAGAAAAAAAAAAAAAAAGAATTATTATGGGGACAATTTTTTAAAATACGTAATATTTAAAGAGTCTATGTGTGTTGTGCCGAGAGAGGAAGACTCTATATCTTCTGTTATTTTTCTCAGCCTTAGCTAATCTTTACATATACGCACACAAAAATCTTAATTCATTTCACAAGTGTTAAGACTTAACTGTGAAGGAAAGGAGATAATGAGGGGAAAATATAATGCCTTCTCTATAAGCAGATTGCTTAAAAAGTAAGAAAAACTTCTTTTTAATGCTCTGGTCACCATAATCATAGATAATATTTATATGATGCTTTTCATGTACCCGGGCTTAATGTTCTAAGTGTTTTCACATGTAACTCTCTGAATCGTCAACAGTTCTATAAGTTGGGTGTTATATTATCCCCATACAGGTGCAGGTGAGGCTATTGAAGCCCTGGTAGGTTAGCAGAACTGGGATTCAAGTGCAGGAATCTAGCCCCAGGCCTGTCCTGTAATCACTCCCTTTATGCACACACCAGTTGAAAATCGGCCTCTTCTCTGTGATTGTCAACAACGGGACATGATTTGTTTGACCCACGATTTCCCATTCTCTGTAGCTTTTCTCTCTCGTGGCAGTCATCACAAGCAGTCAGACAAATTGAGTACATGGTTCTGGAAAAAGTAGATTCGAGGAAAACTGTTAGAGATGCCTCTTCAACAATGTCCAGTACTGGATATCAAACAAGGGGAAAAATCGTGGTACTTTTTAATGTGCATTGTTTAGTGGCCAGAGAAAATCTGCTTACTGAGAAAATGAAACCCTACTGTGTACACAAGTACTTCAGACACCCCTACTGACACTGGGGACCACACCTCCGAAAATACAATGGACTAGGGGCACGGCTCTTGTGGAAGTGCAGGTACAAATGACTGCCAGTTTAAGATTGTAAAATGTGAGTGTGAAAAATGTGTGAAGATTTTATCAGCAGGACCTGCCATCAGTACCAGCCATTAGCCTAGGGCCCCTCCCTGCCATTGTCTCTGGCTATGTTCAGAATCTCAGTGATTAAGACAAAAGCTAGCACCTGCTGACACTTGAGTTGGTGATAGCTCCTCTGTTGCAAGGAAACATATCTCCTTAATGGAGTAAAACTGAACAAAAAACACTAATTCATAACTTAAATAATACAGTAATTGTAAACGGGATGTTTTCTTTGGTTCCACATGCATACTTTCTCCTTCTACCAGAACATGCTACTAGTTATTCCGTTTTTATGCTGTCTGAAGATGCACTCACCTTTTATAGGATTTTCTTTTTTAGAGCAATTTTAGGATTATAAAAAAAATTGCAACCAGGTGCAGTGGCTCACACCTGTGATCCCAGCACTTTGGGAGTCCAAGGCAAGAGGCCAGAAGGTTGAGATGAGCCTGGGTAACATAGACTCTGTCTATACAAAAAATTTCTTTCACGCTGGCATGTGAATGTGCCTGTATTCCCAGCTACTCAGGAGACTGAAGCAAGAGGATCACTTAAACTCAGTAGTTCAAGGATCAGTGAGCTATGATCACACCACTGCACTCCAGCCTGGGCAACAGAGCAAGACCCTGTCTCAAAAAAATTTTTTTTCACAGTGCAGAGTCCCATTGTCACTCCTGCACACAGTTTCTCTTATTATTAACATCTTACATAAATAGATATACACCTTCTTTTGACTTCCATCATTCCTTTTTTTAAAATTGAACGTGTGGATTTTCTACCTTTCAGGTGGTAGTTGTATGAGATTTGCATCACTATATACACACACCTTGTTAATTTAAGCATGGGTCAATTTTTAACAGTACAGGTATGATTATTGGCAAGTCTCATGCTGCTTTGTTCATTGTGTTTTCAGATCCTTTTGATCATCGCTTCAGTTATTGGGATTATTGTCTACAGGCTTTCAGTGTTCATTGTATTTTCTGCAAAACTTCCCAAGAACCTTAATGGAACAGACCCAATCCAGAAGTACCTGACTCCACAGACAGCCACGTCCATCACTGCTTCCATCATCAGCTTCATTATCATCATGATTCTGAACATCATATATGAGAAAGTGGCCATTATGATTACTAACTTTGGTAAGGTTCTCCTGTAGCTTAGGTGATTTCTGAGATATTTTTAGAGCCTGTTACAAATAAGAGACTGTATCTTTTAGACATTTCAATTCCAATAGGTAACAATTTTTAGAAATTTTCAAGTGTAAACATTTTTTCTCTAGGCTGCACGGGAAATGAATTATCTACGGCTTTGCATTAGTAAAAGGGACAAAGCAAAGACAATCATTATAATGTCCAAGCTCTGTGTAAACAGATCAGTGCTGAATAATATTTTCAATTACATTAGATCATGTACTCTACTGTCGAAAGTAAATAGTCTCTTTATTGCAAATAAGTGGAGTAGGGTCACGGTTCCGGCGGCAGATAACGCTCCTCTGTTGTAGAGAGGACAAGCAGTCACACTGCTGCGTGTCTTTCCCCATGCTGTTCATATTAATATCATTCTCATCAGCTCTGGCTTTTGTTACCTGCTGCTTCTCCCTGGCTCGCATCCCAGGCAGCTGCGGAGTGGCCAAAGTTAAGTGCTTCCCACACCCTGCCTACATCTGGGTCGTTCTCCGAATGGTCTGCTCAGTGGTCATGTAAAAATGACCAGACTGATTCAGATTCCAAACTAAGAGGATGACCAAATTCCTCTTGCAAGTTGCCCCTTGTTTTGTTGTTTTCTTCAACAGCCCTACCTTATTGCAATTCAGGAAGACAAGAAAATACCATTCAGCAGGCAGCTCAAAAGTAATTTTCTGTCGATTATAACCTATGACAGTTCTTGCTTATTTGATAGCACTGTACTTGTAAATTTTAAGGAACAGTTGAATATTTCTTTTTCTTTTTTTTCTTTTTTTTTTTTTTTTTGGCCATGTGGGATATTGTTCCCATGTGGGGGAAGAATTCTTATAACAATGTGTAAACTTGGAATTAACACACTGGCTATATTAAGCAATTCAGAACAGCTTAAATGGAAACAGTGTGAATTGTATTTTTTTTAAACATGTTAACTCACGTATCATTGTCTTTGATTAGGGTCTCAAAGCTGTTCACAATTTTAAAATCTTAATTTTCTTTCTTTTAACTACAGAACTCCCGAGGACCCAGACTGATTATGAGAACAGCTTAACCATGAAGATGTTCTTATTCCAGTTTGTCAACTACTACTCTTCATGTTTCTACATAGCATTCTTTAAGGGCAAATTTGTAGGCTATCCAGGAGACCCAGTTTATTGGTTGGGAAAATACAGAAATGAAGAGGTGTGCATACAGAATTGTTTTCCTTGCCAATTTTAAGTTGCTTTCTGTTTTCTCCCAGTTGCCCAATGAATAGTTTCTTCATCATAGATTCTTTAGATTTCATTTTAGCCTACGAAGAACAAATATCATAAAAATAAAATTAATGACTGTTTTCTAAGTTAGACCCACTGAAAATTTTAAAGGATTTTCTTTTGAACATTACAGTGTGACCCAGGTGGCTGTCTTCTTGAACTGACAACTCAGCTGATAATAATCATGGGAGGAAAAGCAATCTGGAATAACATACAAGAAGTATTAATGCCGTGAGTATTAAATTGTATAATCTTGGGTAACAGGACGGGGGTTAGGGGGAGAACAGCCCACCTATCCAAATCATTTGCCTGCATATCCACCTAGCTGCATGTCTGCCTCTAAAATGGATTAGAGTCTATTATTTTTAAAGGTCTCCAGACAAGATAGTACAATTAACATTATAAATGTGTCCAGTATTTAATGATTGTGTTTAAAATCCCTTCTTCTTTATGTTTCTCCACCCACTGTAGTTTATGCCTATTAGGCTGTTGGTGGGGGTTGACTGATCTCAGCCCTTTGAGAGATGACCCTTGTTAGAGCTGTGAACTATGTATTTCCACAACTGACAGCACCTTCCTCTTCTCCCTTTGTATTATGCAGTCAGCAATAGGCTGGGTATGGTGGCACTCACCTGTAATCCTGGCACTTTGGGAGGCTGAGGCAGGAGGATTGTTTGAAGCCAGGATTTTGAGACCACTGTGAGCAACAGAGAAAGACCCTGTCTCTATAAAAAATAGAAAAATTAGCAGAGCATGGTGGTGTGTGCCTGTAGTCTCAGCTACTCAGGAAGCTGAGGCAGGAGGATCACTTGAGCCACAGAGTTTGAGGTTGTAGAGAACTATGATGATACATTTAGCCCAGGCAACATGGTAAGACCCTCTCTCAAAAAAAACAAAATATAAAAATAAAAGTCAATAATAGTAGTTTGTGGAATTTTTAATATGTGCCATAACTGTATTAAGTCCTTTACATCTCTCTCATTTAATCTTCCAAATTATCCTTATTTTTATCTCCCTTTTGCAAATGAAGATCTGTGGCCTATAGGGGTTAAATGACTTGCCCAAGTTCACATTCACAATAAGAGGCTACTGCGGAATTCAAATCCAAAATCCTATGACATCAAATCTGTGTGCTTTCAAGAATAGAGGCTCAAGAGCTTGTGATCCTAAGGCACTGAGATACATTATGTTTTAAGAGATAAATCGTCTGAAATAATTACCACAAAGGTTTTGACATAATGTTGCTTAGCTAAAAAATGAGAAGAATAACAGAAGATACAGTTGTACTTCAGATGTTAGCTGGGATCCCACTATACTTTTAAATTTTCACGTAAGCCCTTTGCAGTATCAAAGCAGAAAGTTCAACACCATCTGCAATTTCTACAAATTTCAGGGAGCCTATTTGCATTAGTTTTCTATTGCTGCTGTAACAAAATATTACAATGGGCTGAAGTATTAAATACAAATGTAATATTTTACAGTCCTGGAGGTCACAAGTTTCACTGGGCTAAAATCAGAGTGTTGGCAGGGTTGTGTTTCTTTTTGAAGGATCTGGGCTGAATTTCTTTGTCTTCTCTAGCTGTTGGAGGCCACATTCCCTGGCTTGTGATCTCTGTTCTCCATCTCAGAGCCAGCAGTTTCATGTCTCTGATCCTCCTTCTGTAATCACCTCTCCCTCTCTCCTTCTTGTCTTCACTGTCTCCTTTGTCTTGTCCTCTCCCCTCCCTTCTCATTTTGAAACAAAAACATCCACTTTTCTTTAAAGTCTTTTGCCCACTATACAACTGGGATTGTTTTTAACTTGCCACCCTTCTTTATAGGCTCCTGCCTCTTTGTCCTGTCTTCCTCCATCACGTACATACTACGTCTCTCTCTTTCTTCCCCTCCCTCCCCTAACCTCTCTCCTTTCTCTCCTCTATCACCAAGTTTCTGTTCATTCTCTTTATAGAGCAGTTAACTGACTCTGGGTTCCAGGGCATCATCCTCCATCTTCAATGAGAGCTATTAAGGTCTTTCTTTAAACAAAGCTCTCCTTTCCCTTCTCCCTCCTACTGTGCCCCTCCACACACACATACACACAAAGGCTTCTGGCTTTGGCTGTCAAATTAACTTTTTTATCCTAGTGTGCAGAAAACAATCCTTACTTTCAATGAGCTCATATTAAGATTTTTCCAGATAAGTAAAAGTAGGTCATGCACAAATAGTACTATGTTTGTTTCTCCATGAAAACAAATACATAAAATAGAGGAAATCTTAACTCATTCTTTCGTTACTAAAAAGTATTTTCTGAACCAAGAAGGTTAACTATTTGACACTAAGTTTTGACAGATAATTGGTTGCCAGCAAGCTATTTTCTGATTTAAAAAATTAGGGGGAGGGTTTATTCCTAAACTGGTGCTGAGAAATTCATATGAAATGAAATTTGTTCATGTATTTTAAAATAAAAGATTAATTCTAGTACCCATGGCCTGTTTATACTTCAAGCAAGCACATTGTTGAAAAATATAGTGGCATGAACTCTGCCTTCAGATATTTTTCTTCCTAGCCTAAAATATTTAGGCAGTATGCTTTAGGTTATATATCCCTTGTTTAAAAACTGGGAATGCTAAGTGTTAGCTAAATTAGAGAGTGACTTGGGCTTCTTTTCTTTGTATAGGTGCCAGATTCCTTTTTTTCATATAAAGATATCAGGTAAAATATCAAAGATATCAGGTACCCTTACTGTCCAAAACTATACCCATTCCCCAAATAGATAGGGAGAGAAAAGCTTTAGAGTACATGGATTAAGAAAATGAGGTATAAAGTGTTGCTCACCATGCTCTGTACATAGTAAGGACTTAGTAAAGCATAACTTACTATGATGTGGCAATGCTAACATATATGGTAAATTCCAAAGGAAATTATATTGTAACCCCTGCTTTTAGCCTTGGCCAGCGAAAAAAGTCATCTGGTGTGTCTGTATTTTTTTAAAAGTTCCATAGGTGATTCACATGTGCAGTCAAGATTGAGATCCCTGCATGAGAATCGTAGCCCAGTAGAAAACCCAGAAGACCAAAGGCAGTGCAGATGGGTGACCACCCAGGATTTCCTACTCCAGATGAGTGGTTCAACTCAGGAAAACTGAGTAAGAGCCTCAGAGTCGGCAGATCAGGAAAGGAAGCTAGTGAGGAAGACTGCTAATGTGATCTGCTGTGGGCGGGAGAGTCAGAATAGGACGAAGGGGGAGCTCCAGATGAGTGGGTGATACCAGCGGTTGCCAGGACGGAAGTTTCATCCTGAATCCACATTGTGGTGTGATTTGGGGTCCAGACAGAAAAACACCTGCTGCAACTGGGGGCATGCAGAGGATTCAGCAAGAAGCTGAGGCTGGAAGTGTAGGAGGCAGAGCAAAAAATAAACAGAAACCAAACTGAGTTCATCTCGAGTTAGGTGTCATGAAGGGTGATGGACATGTGCGGTCCCTGGTGCCACCTGAGTTACAAGTTCCCTGGGATGGCTGCAGACTGCAGGGCTCACCTAAGCTCTTTTCCTCAGCCATAGGAAGCTGCACCATTAACGAGCATTCCACGTCATTCTTGTTAAGTGCTCAAGTGAGAACCACTGGTCCAGGTGGCCTGTGTCCCTGAGCCAAGATGCTGCACCAATGTAGGCCATGTTTTCAGTTGGCTGCAGCCAGTGTGGCCTGCACTGGTCAGCAGAGAATCCCATGCAAGGCGTTTTGAAGCGTTAGGAAATGCGCTACATCCTATACCTGTTTGGAATCCTTTAATTCTGACAGCAGCCCTGGGCAGTACAGGTTTTATCACCCTGTTTTACTTTATCTCTGCGAAGGTTAAGCAGCTATTAAGCAACGGAATGTGGATTGAACTCCCATCTGGGTGCACACGTGTGGCACCTGCCCACGTGGTGGAGAGGATGAGGGCTACTGGGTTTTCTTACGGAAACCTTCCCTACTGTAGTCATGTGATGCCTTGTCATTGTCAGAATTTGAAATCCATACAAACATGCCGTTTAATCAGCCAGAGCTCCACCAGATGTTGTATCTGTATTTGGAATCCTTTGTTGTTGTGCCTCCTCTGACAAATGCCACAGATAAACCACAAGCCCAAGTTGCTTGAAGGGACAACAGTGCTTTATGCTGTAGGGGCACACCTCCTTTTACTGCCAACCCACATTTCTTTTCGGGACAAACTGCCTTAAAAAAGGGTAGCAGTTTTCCAAGCCACGAGGCTTTGAGAGAGAAAATAAAAAAAAACATGGCATAAAAGAAGAGACAACAGACAGCTCTGTCAGGGCAGGGCCCAGTAGGGGGCAGAGCACACTGTGTCCTGGGAGAGATGATTCACTTCTCTGGTCATGAACCTACTTTTTTCTAATGTCAGGTTATGTCACTCTTCTGCTTAGTGCTCTCTGACCATCCCCAACCCACCAAACCACCAATCTTGTTTCCTACTAGCCTTGGCCCACAGGAGCCCCTGCTGTCTGTCGGGTGTGGGAGGCCCACTCCTGCCTCCGGCTCTGCAGGCACCGTTCCCCTGCCTGGAACCTCATCCCCACGGTGTGGCCCCTCCGCCTCTTGCACACTCTTCTTGTTTGGTGTCTCTCGGAGTGGGGCCCTCCCTGGCCGCCATCCCCAGACACAAATGCAAACATTCCCTGCCCTGCTCTATTTCTCTCTGTGGTGCTTATCACCAGCTCACATACTGTGCCTTCATGTTGTGTATTTTCTCTGGTGATTTTCATACCGGCAAGCCTGTTTTGAATGATGTGGTGGGGGCGGGAATGAAAAAAAGAACAACTGAAGTTAATCAAATCAGAGAAAATATCTTTTAAAAATTAAACTGTGTACAGGAAAAAGAGGTAAGAGGAAAAAAAAATTGTAGCAGTTGCAATTTTGATAAGCCCAGGTATATAGTCCTATATTTCAAAATATTTTGATAGGGATAGGGAGAGAGAAATAAAAAGAAATTTAGCCCGCAAACAAATTAAATTTCTTTGGAAAATTGTGTGTTCAGCTTTGAGATAGCAGCAAAATACTTTTATGATCTTGGTCTGATAATATTTATTCTAATTTGTAATTTGGTCTTTTTGGCAGCTGGATCATGAATCTAATTGGGCGGTTTCACAGAGTTTCAGGATCAGAAAAGATAACCCCACGATGGGAACAGGACTACCATCTGCAGCCCATGGGCAAACTGGGATTATTTTATGAATATCTTGAAATGAGTAAGTTGTCAGTGAAATTTTAAGTGATATAAAATATGTTGGAGTATGCTTTGGATCCCAAAAGCATCTGTTATTGACTCAAATTAATATTTAACGTCTTGAAATGAAGAAGAGTATGTTTCTCTCCAATAGATAAAATTATACAGTCATGCTTCCAAATAAGGTGGCTCTGTGTCTTTGTCAATATTTATGTTTTACAAAGCTAAAGATTTATCACCATGCAGTAAAATGGAATATTCATTGAGGTGTATCTTTACCGTTAAATCTCAAAGCATTCCAACCATGCTGAGAATGAACTCAGCAACTATTATTAGATGTGATTCAGCTTGGGCTGGAGTCCATGCAGGCACAGCTGTTGGCCAATACACTTCTGAACCGAGTCATTTAAGGCAGGCAGTAGGACGTGCTGTGTTGTGACAGGAATGATCTCAGGGTCCCCTTGTTCATACCTCATGCCTGCCTTTGACAGCATATCTATTTCTCCTGGCCAGTGTTTTCTAACTGGTTCTTTGCGTGACCTCATGGCTAATCACTGGCTTGAATTTGGAACCATTGTGCTGGTCTAGAATTAAGATTTAGCACAAGTCCCCTCCTTCCTAAATGTCTTTGTCCATTTATTATTTGCTCGGGCTCTGTTTCTATTCAGTTGAACTTGATTTTGAGCTCTCAGTTGCTTTTAAATGGATGCTTCACAAAATGGTTTTCCATGGGAAATACCACCTTTTCTATTATGCATGCCATGCTTCTTATCTAATAGAAGGCTAACAATTTACTTGTTGTATCTGTGCCCTTTCAGCTAACCATTGCAGCGACTTACAATTTTTTTTTTTAAGTTAGGAGAATAGAAAAAGAAGTGCAGCATTTTGGTTGACAGGCCTTGCATTTATGCATTGGGGTTTGTGTGTTTGCAAAGATACCCCTTTGTGGTTCCTGTTTACAATTCTTTAGATAGAAGACACATTTTTATTAAATCACATGCTATATATATATAAAATAATTGCTTTTAAAAATATACGTTAGACATGGAAACACATCTGCTTCCCTCGGTGAGTGAAAGGTTCATCTTGTGGCTTCTTTAGTCAACAATACTTTGTAGCAGGCTGGAGTCTGATTTGAATTTCATTTTTGCTTTTGTTATGTTTTGTGATCAGGATTTATTAAGGGTGTAGCTGTAGTACATAATGTGGAAGTTATATTTATTCTGTTTATTTTCAAAAGGACTGTAAGACAATTACCTGTTATTCAAAAATGAGTCATAATTATAAATATTTGTTATGGGAGCTATTATCAGCGTTAACAATAACAGCATCCTGGGGGAGAATATCATTCGTTGTTTTAGCACCCAAAAACAAAAACAAAATAAACTTAGAAAAAAGTTATTTTTCTGTGATTGGTTTGTCAAATGATTTTGAAAGGAAAACCTATATGGTCATGCTTTGGGGAGAAGTTGATATGACTTTAGAGTTTCATAGGCTCATTAAAATAGTTATCAACTAAGTAATTCTGCCTCATCCTATAAGAAAGAATAACAGCTGTTACAGATGGATTTGTAGATTTATTAAATTGTTTTCCTATTATCCAAATAATAGCTAATGACTTAGAAGACTTAATTTCTGAGAGTAGGTAGTCTATTATTGTGTACCCAACAGCAGAGTGAAATCTGTTTGTCTTTCTAGTCTGTGGAAGATGGAATTGTCAAAGTGCCTTTTGAATTATTTTTGTTCTGCTAAAAATAACTATAGAGTGCCTTTCGCACACACACCGCAGAGTCCCCTCCTTCCCATTTTTCCCATATTCGTTAATGATACCACCATCGACCTTTCTAATTACGGCTCCTACTGCTTAAGGGAAACGTCTTCCCACAAACAAGCCTGGGGCCTCCACCCTTGCTTAGCCTTGCACCCAGCTCTCTTCCCTTCTTTCCTGACAAGTCCGCAGGCTCAGCAGGGCCCCTCAACTTTTCACACAGCTTTGCTGCTCTTTTCTCCTGAGCATTGACAGCACGTGATACCTGCCGTGGTGGCGTGTGACAGAATGCATGCCTCTCCCCCGCTGCACCGGGCCTGTTGGGTGTAGCTACTAAGTCCTCGGCTCCTTCCCATCCTCAGCTGGAGCACCGAGGCCTGGAACCAAGTATTCATAAACATTTAAGCGACTGAACTCGGAGCTTCAACGCACATGTATAACTATCAGTTGATTTTTACATGAACATTGCCACATCCTCTCCCCACCAAGTTTCTGTATGGTCTATTTTTTTTTTAAGTGAAATTTTTATTTCGTTTACTGAGTGAATTTCCCACCATCCTCCAAGATTATTAAAATAACCCTGGGATGTTAACCAAAATTGCCCCTCAGAGCATTTTCCTGATTCTCAGAATTCAGACACAGAACATAAAAGGAGTAGTCTGTCAGTATTGAAACCTGAAAGTCATAAGATACTAGTTTTATATTTAGAGTAGGACTCAGCACAGCAACAGGTGTCCTGAGAAGTTGCCTTCCCAACGGGAAGGTGCCATAAACGAAGTGCACTAAAGCGATGGGCTGGGCCCCTTTTGTCTCTGGGACTGCCTCTTCCACTCTTGCCATGTTACCTTGACCTGACCTTTCTCTATTCTCCATGTTCATCTTTTTAAATCCTTTAAAGCAATGACCTTCATATATTTTCTCCATTTTATTTACTGTAATGAGTATCAGCTGTTCTTCAGCATCTCCTTGCACCCGCCCCTATCTTTTCCCTCCCTCCTGTGCTCCTCTCACCAAAGCCCCTGCTGCACTCTCCAGGGCTTGGGCCTTCCTTCCTTCCTTCATCCCATCCCCTCATCTCTGCTCAGTTCCTGCCCATCTTCTGCAGTGAAGCTTCCTACCTTTGCAGAAGCTTTTCAAAATGGCAACTAGGTAACTGGGGAGGATTTGCAGGCCTCTCATCTCTTCACTCATTCATCTATTCATTAAGTAAACATTTTTAGGGTACCTGCTGTGCCAAACACCTGGTCAGTTGCTGGGGATGCCAAGACAAGGCTTGGTTCCTGCCCTCATGGAGCTTATTAGCAAAGTGGTGGGCTGTTATGAAGGAGGGTGCAAAGCAGATGTACTCAAGCAAGTGAAGTTGAAGCAGGTGGATTTTGAAGGGTGAGTAGAAGTTATCTAAAGCCTGGTGAAGGGAGTGGACGTACTTAAGTACAAAAGCATAAAACAGCTTGTTTGGTTCAAAGAATGGCAGGTAAACACGATTGCTACAACTGTGGTTACGGAAAAGTGGAAGAAAAACTGTAGCTAGTTAGGGTTTTTTTTTTTTTTTTTTTTTTTCCTTTTCAGTTTCTTAATATATATTGACCTTTTAAAAATGATTTAAAAGAAATTCAAGGGGGAAAAAAATTCAATGGAGAAGGGACTGGTTGGCCATGTCTGAAGTTGCATAGTAACCCAAGAAATCAAGACTGAAAGTGAGCATTGGCTCTAGAACATGCAGCCGGCCACCAGCAAAGTCAGCGAGAGTAGGTTCAGTGCTGTGGTGGAGAAATAATTGGGCACACTTCCTTCAATAAACTTGACTGTAAAGTGTATAAAAAAGCATACAAAGTATTAGCAATATAGGATGATGAAAAAGTTTCAGGCAGAGGTGGTTTTTACAATAGGTATTTTTTTTTCTTTTTTTGGTTTCAAAAGTGGTTTATAAAGTTCTCACTGGAATATCAAATCAAATTATACCATGTTGGGTTTTTCCTGGTGCTTTTTTTTTTAAATAATTTTTTTCAGTATATTATGGGAGTACAAATGTTAAGGTTACATATATTGCCCTTGTCCCCTCATTGGTGCTTTATTTTTTAATATGAATTTTTTAATCCATCTGGAATTTATTCTGGTGTCAAAAGTGATGGCCCCATACCAATTTTCCCAGTGACTTAGCTAGCTGTTCCAATGCATGAATCCACTGATTTAAAGTATCACTTTATAAAAATACAAAAATCCGGCCGGGCGCGGTGGCTCACGCCTGTAATCCTAGCACTCTGGGAGGCCGAGGCGGACGGATTGCTCGAGGTCAGGAGTTCAAAACCAGCCTGAGCAAGACCCCGTCTCTACCAAAATATAGAAAGAAATTAATTAACTAAAAATATATATACAAAAAAAATTAGCCGGGCATGGTGGCGCATGCCTGTAGTCCCAGCTACTAGGGAGGCTGAGGCAGTAGGATCGCTGAGCCCAGGAGATTGAGGTTGCTGTGAGCCAGGCTGACGCCACGGTACTCACTCTAGCCTGGGCAAGAAAGTGAGACTCTGTCTCAAAAAAAAAAAAATCCCATGAATATTTGTATCTCTTCTTAAACTCTATCTTGTTTGATTCATACTATCTATTCATGTACTAGTTCTGTTTCAATTACCATAGCATTATAATATACTTTAACATCTCCTAGAGCTGATCCCATTTTATTATTCTTTTTCAGAATGTTCCTAATACTGTGAGTGCAAACCATCCCTCCTCACTATTTTACCTGCTTGTTTACATTCCTTGATAAACTTTAGCATTACCTTTCACCTTTTTTTTTCTTAAGTCCATTGCAGAAAAAAATTTGATACGTTCCCAAATTTGAGTCTGGCAATTAAGAGTATGGCACATCCTACCATTCTTTTGTTCATCATCATTTGTTTTTCTTAAGTCATTTATCATAGCAGTCTTGTCTGTTTTTTTGTTGTCATTATAAATGTTTTCTTTCCTCTGTGGGATTTTTTAACTGAGTTTATTGCTAATATAACCCCAATTTCTGGCTTCTCTTGAACAATCAGGAGATCTGGCAACGTTGGGCCCTCATTCCAACATGTGACTGTGAGCTAGCTGTCCCTTTCAGTAGGACGTGCAATTGCCAGTTCACCACAGTTGACCCTGACCCACTCCACACACATTACTTGCCTTGCCCCCTTAGGCTGATGAGTTTACTTAGGGTTAGGTGAGTCACAGACATCTTTGCTCATTGCTACTGCTGCTGACTCTGTGGCATCACCAGCTCTTGCCCTTGCCTGTCTGACGTCTCAGAATATGAGCACTTTTGTCTGGCCTGCCTGCTCTTCTGCAATATTCCCTTATCCTCTCAGACAGGAAGCAAATGCCAGCTTCTCCCACCTAGCCACACCTCCACAGCCTTGCCCCTGCTGGCCGGAGTTCTCCCTGCCGGTCCCTTATCTGAGCAAGAGGCTTACACGGGCTGTAGTTTTTCCTCTCCTTCAGTCTTAGTTACATATCTGCACATGTTTGCTCTCTGGGTCTGCCCGTCAGGAAGGCAGGGTCTAAAACTGAAAGTTTCCTTTTTTAGATCTTTGGCCTTATTTCTTCTTCCACGCTATAGTACAGCTTAACCAAAATCTCTGCTGCCCTATTTATAGTAAGGCCATGTTTATTACAGAAAAGGAGAAAAGAACTTCTAAGCCACCACTTGCATCTTGACTTAGGAACTTCAAGATAAAGATTCTTAAAGAAGGATTATGACTTAGTAAGCCACTTTTATCACATACTTCTGTGATTTTTAATAATATCATAAATTCTCTGAATGCACTGCACTTACATTCGCAGACTCAGGGGAGCTCACTCCTTTGCTTGTTGTCAGTATATTTTCTCCAGCTTTCTCTAAGCATAGCCTTCCCAAATGGTATGTTTCTTATTTCTTTTTAACTTGTTGGATATGTCCACAATATTCTTTTTCTAAAATCCTAAATCACAAATCATCTTCTAACATTCTATGATTTCAACTCTGAGAATGAATAATATGCTTAGAATGTCTCGAGTTTATTACCAGCAAATAATTCTCATTAAAGATTTTTTAATATATTGTTCCTATTAAGTGTATACATGTGAAAGAAATAGGGTATAATTAGTCTTCTTTTCCAAAGAGAGTTCACATTTGTGTTTCGTTTGAATTCTTTCACTGTGGAGCGTTAAATTATTTACTACAGATGTGTTTTCTCTTTGGGATTTAGTTCTTTGTTTGCCTTTGTCTTTCAAGAGTAAAGGAAAATATGTTGTCCTTCCATTCATCCACCATTCCATGTTGTGTGTCCATTCCATTGACAGTTATTCAGTTTGGGTTCGTCACCTTATTTGTGGCCTCTTTTCCACTGGCCCCTCTGTTGGCTCTGGTGAACAATATATTGGAAATAAGAGTGGACGCATGGAAACTGACCACCCAGTTTAGACGCCTGGTGCCTGAGAAAGCCCAAGACATTGGAGCGTGGCAGCCCATCATGCAAGGAATAGCAATTCTGGCTGTGGTGACCAATGTGAGTAGACCTAGGCTTTGCAGGGTGAAGACCTTGAAAAGTCCAAAAATGCTTTACAGTTGCTACCTAAGGAATCAAATGTTTGGTGTTTTTTAAAATGAGAAGATGCTAAGACTATCATCCATATAAATTACACAGTAGTTATGTAACTAATTATTATGATAAATCTGTTTTAATTTTGCTTATAAATTACTCTTGACTTAAAACGACATCAAGCCCTCCTACATTGGTACTGGTATTGCTCATTTGCTAAGCTTTTATTCAATAGAAATATGGTAATGATAGTAAGTGCTAATAACACTTTTAATCCTCACATAACTAAAAGGAGTTATCAGAAAGTACTTTTATAATATGTATAGAAATCTGTTCATTCACAGTTGGGAGGACTCTAAAATAAGACCATTTTACTATATATTACAAAGTATCAAGTTAAAATATTAACTTTGAAGTATAAACATTTTCTGCATTCCTAATTATGCATTACTGTACACATAGGTTTAGGGTGGGTTTCACCCTCCTCCCACTCTACCCTTAGGTCTTTGCCAGCCACACTCTGGTCATTGGCTGAAGCAGCCTCCTGCCCTGCACGTATCCCAGCTGTGAGAGAACAGCAGTTTTTTACTGCTTGGGTTAAGTGCTTATGGACCAGTCTGAACAGTCTTCTTTTTTTTTTGCATGGGCCAATAGAGAGCTCTCAGGCAGAGCAATTTTCATGTCAGCCTATCAGAGGACCTCTTTCCCTAGAAATGTCCTTAAAACCAGGGCCATTTCCTCCCATATTTCAATTCCAATAGTGATTTCCCAGTTTTAATTTCTTAAGCCACACTTGCCATGAGTCCCTAGCCTTTTCCCACAAGCACCTGCAGAAACAGAATAGAATTCAGCAGTGCCTGTAGGTCCTGGATGAGGGAAGCGACTGAGCACTGCAGGCATTAGAATCAGGTAGACCCGAGCTCCAATTCCCACACTGCAGCTCTGAGCTGCGTGAACTTGAGCCAGGCCTTAATCCTCCAGAGCCTCATCATTCATAAAATGAACAATACTCTACCGCATATTGTAAGACTAGCACATACCACCGGAGTTGTTAGGGAATTCAATGAGCAAATGCATGGAGCCTAGTTCTTATTGAATGTTAGCTGCTGCCGTTTTATCATCTTCATTACTGATCATAATTATTAACAGTGACTGTGTGAAGACTCTGACAGCTACCTCAACTAGAGGCACAAGAATTTCAAAAATCAGTCACTATCTGGCCTATGGTTACAGTTTTATACAATAAAAGAAATTATTTGTAATCCAGCCATCACCCCAACACATCAGAACCCTCAATTTATCTGAATGGCATGCTATCTCTACTTTTTGGAGGAAGTTGCAAACCACACATACAAAAACAACTGCTAGGGTACGTCAGTTTCCATTCCCCCAAATAGCCTGCACCTTCGGTATCTACCGTGCTACAGAATGAAGACTGATGTTCAGAAATATGACAGCAAGGCCTTTCAAGTTCCACAGTCTTAAAAGAATGAATCTGTCATGTCCAATATGCTATAGTCCACTAAGCAGGGCAGGAATCTGGACTTGCGTGTGTGCTTTAAGAAAATTTTCAGCAGCAAGGTTTGAAACTAAAAGGGTTTTTGACCTTCAGCTAACCAGAAAATTCAATTGACTCAAACTCTCCATTCCTCAAGCATGCTGGTTTGATTGCATTAGGTGCCTTTTCCCAGTATCCATGCCATGGCTTCCCTCCATTAGCACAGATGGAGGGTTGGCTGTGTTTCCAAGGCTACTTCGTGTGTGTGTATGTGTACAGACACACACCCGGGCTAATTGGTGCTATTGGTTCTTACTCAATAGTAGTTTTATAACTTACCCCAGGAAAACTGCTTATTAGATTTGTGACATTGATTAAACTATGGACAAATCCCTTTTTTCTGTATTATTAGGATTTGTTATACTTCCAAGATGCAGTATGCATACACATACATGAGTATGAGTGGAGGCAAGCATTAAACACGTGTCTGTTATCCCCTCAAACACCTAATGTGTCTCTCCACAACCTACTGTGTGCAAAAGAAAGAAGAGAACAGCCACCAGGGATAAGAGCGGACCTCCAAGCAGGAGTTTGGTATAAAATTATTCATTTTAAAGCTGCTGGCTCAATAAATAAGCTGAATTGACACCGTTGTATCATGCCAGAGCATCTGCTATTGAAGACCAATTTTAATTTATTTTGATATAAATGGAAAATTGTGTGCAGAACAGCATGGGAAATGAAGCACACTGCACTTATTTGCACTCTTGTAGCATGTCTCTCCAAGCAGCTCAATTCAGGAGGAAAAGTATTAATATCTTGTCAGAAGACAATAGAATTATCTTCCTTGTTGGAATTTTTGTAGCTTCCTGACGCACCTCTGCAGGTGATTCTATAAAGAGATATAGTTGAGTTAAATGATAACAGGAAAATCTAATCTATTGAAATCTGGAAAAAGGTAAAATGTTCTTAGAGCGTCACCCCCAATACCAGCAGGCAGATACACACACAGAAATCTTATACGTCAGAGGAAATGACAGAGCTGGTTCTAGTGGGGAAATTTTGCAGTAGAAAAACCCCTTAATTGTTTCTGTTGCTTTGCCTGAGATGTTGTTTGTTGGTTTGTGGTCTCACTGTGTCTAAACCATATGTTCAGATGAATACTATTAAAAATCACGTTGAGCCAAAAACATGTCTGTTGTTCTCCTTCAATTAATGACTGAATCATTTAGCTCTGTTTATTCACATAGAATCTGGTTTAATTTTACACATTGGAGAGTTTAAAGCCCAAATTAAAGAATTTTAAAGAAAATTCATGTAGTTCACAATAGCTTGGCATCCTGATAGATGTCTCCCTAACACAGACACAGGTTTATGATTGACCCATATTTATACCTTTTATCGAGGAACATACTAAACTTTATGTATGTTACTCAGTAATTTATAACTTTCATAACTTTATCCATTTAATCTTTTGGAAGTAGAGAGGTTTAGACACTAGATCTAACAAAACCAACATCACTGCTTGACTGTGTGAATGGAACAACCCAATATACTTTCTTGCTACCCACTTTTTATTAAAATTAATAAAAAATTCTTGCTCTCTAATGAAGCAACAAACGTATTTACTGAGAATTAAATCAGGCTGTGGGACTGACTTGTATAAACAAGATATTGTAGGGAAAAAATAAGTGTGAATTTGAAGGCCATTATTTAAATTTAAATCAAGGAAAATATATTTTAGGTAATTTACACTCTATTTTTATAAGAAGCAAGTGATAAATTAGTTTTGTTTCAATTTAAACTACAAAAGAATTATATAAAGGTGAGTTATTTTTTATAATACTGACCTCAGTATTACATCTATAAAAGAATCTTCTAAATCTAAATCATGAAAGATTAACATTTTATCAAGTAGAGTTCTGATGTTGACTGAATTTTATATTCTAATTTTTTGAAAAATACTAATTTACATATAATATATGCAAGCAACTTCTTGAATTATCCACAACACCCTAAATCTACAATTATTCAGAATAAATTGGTGTTGACTATATTTTAGAAACATAACAGGCAACTATCAGGCCTTTGCATTTGAACAGTATGTGGACTTCTAAACATTCTCTTAGAATTGAAGACCAAAAGGAAAGGAATATTCTACTTTAAAATTGTTGCTTCAAGATTGTGGGACATTTGCTGAAATCTATATACATTTCACAGTTAAGAAAGAAAGTTTCTGAATCTTTAATTTTTTAAAATAGTAATTCTGGTATATTTGTTAACCATAGTTATAAAAGCTCTAAATTAATGCTGCCTTTATTCTTGTCCTCCCAACGTAGGCCATGATCATTGCTTTCACATCAGACATGATCCCCCGCCTGGTGTATTACTGGTCCTTCTCTGTCCCGCCCTATGGGGACCATGCTGACTATACCATGCAGGGCTACATCAACAACACTCTCTCCTACTTCAACATTGCGGACTTCAAAAACAAAAGCCTGGGAAACCCATATGTTGGGCTTGGCGACCATACTACCTGCAGGCAAGTTCTCCTATACCTGCTTAAAAACGTACTTTATCTTTAAAAGGCCCTTCTTTATGATGCGATTCTGTTTGGTGTTATTTAAATCAAACTACTAGAGACATTTTTTCCCATAGCTTTCTTTTCAGTGAAACTCTAAGACTAGGGCTAGAACTTTCCCAAACCATAAAGCAAGATTTAAGGATGAGAGTTTAAAAATGGTTTACAGGGAGACTGATCCAGGAGAAAAGTCTTATATCTTAGAAATGGAGTAACTCCAAGAGTTCCAAAAACCAACATAATTCAGTTGTTAGGACTAGTGTGTTATACAAGCACAACCTTAGGATACTGAATGGTGACAAACTAGCACCCTCAACTTAAAGATAAGAGATGTAAATACCTCAGTTGAACAGTATTCTCCAAAAATATTCCAAAGCTCTCTGCATCGATTTTAATGGCTGGTGAGTCCAACTGTGGATGGTATACGCCAGCTAATTTACAAGTTGATAGAGTGTTGGCTACAGGAGCATAGAATTTTTTTTCCTCAATCATGGAGTCTTACCTGAAAAGGAGCCTTTAAAACTCCTTTAGTCCAACTATTCAAAGCCTTTACTGATTCAAATTCTCAATAACACAACCAAGAAACCAGAAATAGGCCAAAAATAAATGTTTCAAAGTTACACATAATAGTCTCTTCAGAATACTACATTAAATCTGCTTATTCTTACTTTACATAATTCTAATCAGAAATGAAATTCTTCTAAGTTTAGTAAATTACAGGCAGAAAATTAGAAATGTGCTACCTGAGAAAGATACACTAACAGCAATAACATAGATCTAACAATGAGAATTAGGTAAAAAAAATTATATCAAGCAGGTAGTACTCTGTATAGGGAGAGACAGCCCCATAGCTGAGTGAACCTTGATAACATTATATAAATAAATTTATAAACATGATCCCCCAAACAAAAATTGTTTTAGCTATATTCCTTTGAGAAAGCAGGGATAAAGCTCTGGAGGAAAACAATCAAGAACTTTAGTTCTTTTATAAAGATGGGTTCTTTTTTACAAAGAATCTGTCATTAGCATCATTTTCTGATTACCTATTAAATGAAGTATTACTGTAGTTATTTTGGGGTTTTGTTACCAAACTGAACTCTAGGAGAAAATTTATATGATGTCCAACTTAACAAAGCATTGAATCAAATATGACCTCTTTTTAAATGGGGCCCTGGTTTACAGTATTTGATCAAAAAGATTTGTCTCCTAATAACGTCTCCATTTTGTTTCCAGGTATCGTGATTTCCGATACCCCCCTGGACACCCACAGGAGTATAAACACAACATCTACTATTGGCATGTGATTGCAGCCAAGCTGGCTTTTATCATTGTCATGGAGGTAGGAAAAGTCTACTGTGAAATAGTTTCAAAGGCTATGTATGTTTGCAGAACTTCTATTAAGTGTTGCCAACTCTGTACTTAAAAATGTATGGTCCTTTTTCCTGATCACTTGCTATCAATAATTTTAGATTATATGTTAATTAAATGAAGTTGGGAAGGTGGTTATCTGCTTTAAAAAGTTTAAAAAAAACAACATGCTATCTAGAATGGGGATTCAGTTCTATACAATTCAATATTAACTGAGTGCCTTTTAAAAATCTGGGGCCCTGGGCAACATGTTGGGCTGTGAAAGGGCTTATTCAAGATGGGTATGATGGCATCTCTGCCCATGAGGAACTTTTATTGCTGTGATAGTTTATTTTTATTATTTCTTTTATTGTGTTATCATAATAAACCAACTTCTTACAATAGTTTGTTATATCCCTAAAATTGACCAACTCTGAAAAATGACTAAAGCAACTATGAATTTGCAATCAATCTATCCAGCTCTACTTTTTATTCCCAGTGAATAACTACTACTAAACTATAAAGCTTCAGAAGTTGCTTCATTGGTGTATGTTAGGATTACATTAAGTTGCCAGAAAACCCATCTGTAGTGGATTAAACAACTAAGGAGTTTTTTCATCCAACAAAGTTCTCTAGAAGGAGGTGGTTGCCTGTGAATCAATGCCAGTTCACTGATGGAAGGACCATTTCTGATTCTCTACGTTTCTCTTCATGTCTCTCTCATGAAGAGAGCCATGTCTCTTCATGGCTGCAATATGGGTGCCACAATTCCAGATAACACATTTACATTCAAGACAGGAAGAAGGAGGGTGACACTAGTAATCTCAGGTCCATTTTGTCAGGAAAGAGTGCTTTGCCAGAAGCCCTCACAGCAGACTTCCACCTACATCTCATTGGCTAAAACTATAACACCTGGCTCCTCCTAGCAGCGGTGGAGGCTGAGACCGGAGGTATTTCATTTGCTCTGAGTGAAATCCAAATCAGTTAGCAAGGAGAAGGCAGGTAGGCTACCTGGCTTTGTTAACTTCTACTAGTATTTTTTTTAAATAGCTACCAAACATTAACAGGAAAAAAAAAAATAACTCAGGGGTCATTTACCATCATAAGTGGATTTCTGAAGTACAATTTCTAATATATCAGCTAGAGTCACTAGTGTCTATTCAAATATGTAGCGATGAAGTAATTGGACTTCTGCTTTTGATATTATGGTGGACCAGATACTATAAGGGGCCATCCCATTGAAAACATCTAGACCCAGCTTGAAACATAATTCCTTTGGCATTTCGAGCCTGCTGGAAAGGAGGAGATTCTACAAAGGGGGAGAACTAGGTGATGGGTTTAAATAGAGCAGTGAGCAGGAAGCTCCCCTGAAATGTGCAGCAGGACCCTGAGAGCCAGTGCCACTACTCCTCAGTGCCTTCGTCTCCAAGCGCAAGGAGACCAGGCCTTCAGCGAAGTGGGAGGGCTGAGCTCGAGACTTCTGGATTAAATGACAGGCCCCAAAAGAGGCTAAATTTGTCTCAGAGTAGAAGGAATTGCATATCTTCTCTGGAGAAAAGTGTCCTCAACTTAGACCCCAGGTTTTTCTCAGATCAAGATAATCATATATGAGCTCACAGTCAAAGATTAATAATGAAAAGGGAAATTTTAAAAATGAATAAGATTCAGCAGGAAAAAACAACTGATTTGAACCTTTGATAACTTTAAGAGCTTGAGTTAGCAAATAAGTGAACTATGTGAAAATGTTTAAACAAATAGCAAAGTAAAAAATGAGCAAATAAACTATAAAAAATCATAGGACAATTTTGAAAAAACTAAAATGGGACTTAGAAGTAAAAATATATAAATAGTGAAATGAAAAAAATTTAGGCAAATCTGAAGAGAGAATTAGTGAACTAGAAGATAGGGCTAAAAAAATTACCTCTGATATAGCACAGGGAGATTAAAAAAAATGGGAACTATGAAAAAGTAGTTATATGGAAGACAGAAGGAGCAGTATTACCTTAAAAATAATCATAGAAGCAGATAATAGAGGAGAGGTAATATTTGAAGCATTAATAGCTAAAGTTTTTCCAGAATAAATGAAAGACAGTTTATAAGGCAGAAAGCATGACATGTATCAAGCAGAATAAGTAACAAAGAAATTCACGCACATATTGTAAAGAAAATGCAACACAGCAAAAACTTAAAAGTAACCAGAGAAAAGAGACAAATAACTGACAAAATTAAAATTAGAATGAGAGTAGGCTTTTTGACAGTGGAAGCCAGAAAAGAATAGTCTAATATCTTCAAAACACTAAAGAGGGTAACTGTAAACCTAGAATTACAGCAAAACTTTGAATAATTGAAGTCTTTCCACAATGAAAACATCAGGCCATGCGGCTTTTTAGAATGGTACCAAGCTTTTTAGAACAGACCATTTCAACCTTATACACACTCCTGCAGAGATCAAAAAAAACCCAAATACTCTCTGACTCATTTGGTGAGGTTAAGAGTAGCACAGATCCTAAAATCAGACAAGAATAAAAAGGAAAGGAAAATTAAAGCCAATCTTGCTCATTACATAGAGGCAAAGATCTTTCTAAAATGTGTGAACTGAGATAATGGATATGTTCATTTGTTCCACTATACAGTAAGTCCCCAATGTTGTCAGGTTCTTGGAAACTGCAACTGTAAGGTAACATGTCACAAATCATTTTTTTCCCTCATCAACATTATAACAAAACATTAAAGGAAATGATGTTATTCTAGGACCTGCTATTGTCATTCTGTTCAAAGTCAGTTTCTAAGCACCTATCAACAACATTAGGTGAGGACTTAATGTAGTAACCATTTTACATTATACATATCTTATAACATCATGCTGTATACCTTAACTATACACAATAAAATTTATTTAAATAAAATGTGCAAACTGAATCTACCAATATATTTTTAAAAGATCACACCATATTGGCTTTAATCTAGAAATATAAGGGTGCATAGCATAGAAATGTTATCTCAGAAATAGATGAAAGAAAAATAACCTCTTCCCTATATCCACTTTTGTTGCTTTACTATATAATTTCCATTATCAAACACACTAATATCTCAACATAAAATTCTCTCCACCCTTATTGCATCTGTTCTGCCCCATCCTCTTCTCAAACTATTGGTGGCCAGCGCCCTTGAGTGAGTGTCAGTGTTCTGTGTCTACTATTCCTCTCTCTCGCTCTTTCGTCTTTGCCTGCTGCAGTCATGCCTTTCCCTCCTCCGCATCACTGAAACCGCTCTTGCTAAAGTCGCCAATGGCCATCTTGTTGGCAGATTCCTGTGGTCACCTCTCCACCCTCACATTACCTAACTTAGCATTTGACACAGCCGATCACTCACTCTTCCTCACTTGGCTCCCAGGAAAACACTTTTTCTTTTCCTTCCCTCCTACCTCACTGGCCACTTCTCTTAATGATCCTGGGACTCATTCCTTGGCTGTCTTCTTTTGTCTGTCTTCACTTTCTTGGTGCCAAATGGACCTAAAAATGGGTATTTCCAGAGCACCTCTCTCCTGAACTCAACCCACAAATCCAGCTGCCTACTTGACCTTTCTGCTTGATTATCTAACATATTCATATGTACTGCCCCAAACTCCTGTGTTTTCCTACATCTACTCCATTCTCTCCCAACCTGGCCCTAAACCTCTTCCATCCAATCTGTCTTTTTTGATTATGGCAACTCCATCTCACCAGGTGCTCAAGCCAGAGTACTTAGAACCTTTCCTGTTTGTTTTCTCTCTTTCTCTCACTCTACATCCAATCTGGTTGGTTTTTCCCTTGAAAATATGTCACTGACCACGTCTTACCAACTCTGCTGCTACTACCAGGTCAGAGCTGCCATCGTTTCTTGCCTGAATTAGGTAGGACCATAGTCTCCTGTTGTCTTCCTTTCAGTCGAAGTCAAAGCCTGAGCCCTCACAGGGGCACACAAGCCTCCCGTGGTCCGGCCATGCTTCCTTGCCTCGTGGCCATCACTTCTCTCTCACCCACTCCAGCCTTGCCCTTCTGGAGATGCACTCTGGAGGCTTCTGCCAAACAGACTCTGCACTGACTGTTCCCTTTGCCGAGAATGCCTCTCCTCCTGGTATCTGCACAGCTCATTCCCTTACTTTCTTTAAAGTCTTTGCTCCATTAAGCATATCCAGACCAATCTATATAAAATCTGGGGGTGAGGGGAGCCCTTCATTGCACCCACAATAAGTCTTACACTGCTTTACTGTTCTCCTATAGCTCTTAACACTTTTTAATACCATGCATAGCTTGACTTTAATTATGATTTTTGCATATTGTCTCTACCTCACTAGGTCAGGGATTTTGGTGAATAAAATGGTGAATAAAAAATAAAAAGGTATTTAACCACTTCAGTACGAGCGTCGACTATAGTCGATAGCCACAGATGAACGCGCACAGCCACTTTAGCCGACAGTCGTGATATGACTTTTCTGATTTTTCATCTATCAAAATAAAATTGTGAACATTTAAAAATAACATAATGAAAGCATATATGTATATGTTACCTATTCTGATTTACATTACAAATAAAGCTGCCTGTAAAGTAAAACAAGCTTTCAGTGCTTTAAAGCTTTCCTCATCACACAAGAGCAAAACGGATTCATGGTCAATGCACAGCACAAACTATCGTGCGGACTATGAGTGCCGGCTGTGGGCAAGGTTTCGCGGCTGGCGAGTGTGGTACAGAAGTGGTTAATCTCATTAGTAATCAGGGAAATGCAAAGTAAGACCAAAGTGAAAGTTCATTTCATAATCACTAAGTTGGTTTTTAAAAACAAGTCTGAGGATACCAAGTGCTGGCGGGAGTACAGAGCATCACACTGCTGGTAGGAGTGTAAGCTGCTTCGGAAAGTATATTGGTATCATGTAAAACTGAACATCCATGTGACAAAGTCGCAGCAGTTCCACTCCTAGGTCTACACTGTTGAGAAACTCTTGCAGATCCAAACATAAGAATGTAAACAGCATAGCTCCTAATACAAAAACTGGAAACAAGCCCAATGCCTGTTGCTAGGGTTTGTACACGTAGAATGTCCACTGCCTTGTCCACATACACTGCCATAATGACAAGCAAAAACGAATGAAAGGAACTTGGGGTTCTCCTCCATTTCTTTGTGACTGACATGTTTCTTCTTCTCTCCTCAGCATGTCATCTACTCTGTGAAATTTATCATTTCATATGCAATCCCGGATGTATCAAAACTCACGAAGAGCAAGATCAAGAGAGAGAAATACCTGACCCAGAAGCTTCTTCACGAGAGTCACCTCAAAGATATGACAAAAAATATGGGGGTGATAGCCGAGAGGATGATAGAAGTAGTAGATAACAATTTACGGCCAAAATTAGATTAAGAGCTTTATGTTCTGAGAAGCACTTTAAGGAATTTAGCTCTGTCAAAATATATTATGAATCACTAATGAGAATGTTTAAGTTAAATCACTATGGCAAATATGAGTCTTAACTATTGCCATTTCCGTGCATATTATTTTTCAGTTTTAGCTAGCGATGCAAGAACAGGAAGATGTAAAACTTAGATCAAGAAGGGCATAAAATTAATCACCTGGAAAACCTAAAGTGTTCCTTTTTTGATAAATTGGAATTTTAGTAACACAGGAAGAGTCTCTTCGTGTGCTTAAAAACTGCCCCTTCTAAAGCAGAATGGATTTTTTTTTTCCTGTTTGATTACTTTCCTTTCTTTCTGTTCTCGGGCACATGATCTTTATTTTTAGGCAGAGTTCCATTTCTTCACTTTGCCAGATCTGTTCCAGAGCTATCTTTTCCTTATAGTACCATCATTAAACATCAGACATGCTCCCACCTTAATAGCTTTCCTGTGATTGAAAATAGCTAACTTGGAATTCTCTTTGAATGAATGCTGTTATTAAGAGGAAAATAGACTCAAAAATTCAAAATATTTAGGTATATTATCACATACCCCCAGAAAGGGAACCTCAGTTCGTCGGAGGAAATGCTTTCAGTCTCCTTTTTGGCCTGTCTTTCCATCTCAAAGAAATACTCTTAGTGGATTGGAATGAAGATAGCAAGGTTTTGAAGCATATTTGTCCTAATCTACAGTGACACCTTTTATCTTCCAGGAGCACTCCTAGAATACCCTGTGCCTAATCAATGTTGACTGCTTTGCAGATCTCGAGGGAATAAGATGACAAAAGTAGGGAAGGTTACAGATTCAAATAGAACTGTAACTCATGTTGACCTGGATAATTAACTTATCTCTTCCAAAGATGTGTCATTTCTTGGGGGAAAAATGATATCACGTGATTAAAATTATACTTTTAGCAACATAATTGTCTGGAAGAGATAAGCCCATCGGTTTCCCAGCAGATGACTTTTATTCATCAGACGCAGGAGGTGTACAGTATTACAAATCACCAAGCGCCTTCAAGAACGGCTCACTCCATAGCCATTGCGGCATGACGGTGTTGTTACATGGTCAGGAACAGCAAGTGCCCTAATTATGAGCCATGCTAATTCTGCTCCTTGTATGGGGCGTGCCTTCCATCAGGGAGTCTGCAGGACTTGGCCTATTTCTATACGTCCAAGCGGTCAACATACCAAAGCATCTGCCATAGTGAACGTGGCTTCATCCGCTTATTCTGGGCCCAGTAACTCGTCCGTAACCGTATGATTGCACAAGAGATGGGAGTATACCCAGATTATTTCTGATCAGAAAGAGACTCTGGATCTGACTTGAGCTTCCAGCCTCTTCCAGGGCCAATCAGGCAGTTAAGGGTAATAAAGGAAAATGGTTTGGCCACAGACTGTACCAGTATCTGGAGATAACTTCCTGCCGCACTCCTGTCCCATCACAGATCTTGCTTGCTCAGCCTAGCAGTCTACTCTGCTTCACTGCCTTTTCAGCGTCAGGCCCTCTGGGAGCTCTGGGGAAGACACGGAGCCAGCACCTCTCCCCCTTGACCGGTGACGGGTCAGTGCTGGGTGCAGGAGGAGGCGGCGGCGGTTTGCAGCCTGTTGGTGCTGGAGGGGCCTCCACCCGCTGGGATGCTGTTAAGTGCTCAGGTGCCAGAGGAGCCAACCTATCAGCACCCCAGCAGCTAGGGAAAGTGAACAATGCCTCAGTAATCAGGTTTTAGAGTCTTGTTATCATAAAGAAGCTTAACTCTAGATCACAGTTTTAAATGCCTGCCATGAATGTTATTTAAAAAAAAAAAAAGACAACCTAGTATTTATATAGGATTCATCAAAGCAGTATTTCTGGGCTTTCACATTGTCCCAGTGGATCAGGGACAACACTTTGCTATCTTTCTTAATCATGTTAATGATGTGGTCAGAGAGTGTTCAGGACAGGCCATGGAAGGTCTGACTGCGCTGGGATGGAGAAATGAATTTCTTGCTGCTGGAAGAAACCGTTTTTCATTCGGCACAGCCAAGATGGGAGTGCCCCGTTCCTTTCCTCGCTCCCCTGTGATACTGCCCTGGAGGGAGTGTCACTTCCTCTCTATTTTTACCTCTTTTCTCTGAAGTGTGCGACTATCTCCTAGTGTTTGAATTATGGCAATTAATCACTGTTGATGTCAGCATGGAAATGTTTTTACCTTATCTCCTTATATAGATGATGGAACTGCAGAAGAAACATACATTTATGTTTTCATAGCCCCAGCAGAGAGAATCGTCTTCATAGTTTAAAATGTGCTGCTGTGGACAGGAGGGAAAATAACTCTGCATTTTTAAAGGCAGCAAATGTGACGTCTGGCACTGCTAAGATGCCCAAAAGAATAAAACAGTAGAGCCCCGGGTCACTCATGCCGTCCACAGTGTTAATGTGAGTCCGGGGATGACTTGTGGTGAGGAACATGGGGCAGCGTCTGCAGACCACGGCGGCTGCATCTGTAAGTGGGAGCCGAGGCGGCGGCCCCAGGGAAACCTGTGGCCCCACCAAGGGAGAATCTGGCCCTCGACCTGTCCAGTGTTAACCACTAAAGAAATTTTAGCTTTCTGTCTTTTTGTTGTAATGCCTGTGAATTTCAGTGAATTGAAGCGTTAGACCAAATACTCAGGGGATTTTTCTTTAAACATCCCTCAGATATTTTAGCTATGTTATTAGAAAGGGAAAGCAATCATTTTTGTTTCAAAACTAAACAAGGCCGTCTTGTATACTGACTGTCACCAAAGTGTTCCCTTTTTAATGCACATGTGTCTTGGATTTCATGAAACATTAATTCAACAAGGGGTCAGAATGTGCTCTTTCATTGAAACACTCCTTGTGTCATTTTCTTATGTCCATAAGATGTGTGAGAAGTTAAAATGTACGATCAGCTTAAGTGAAATTATTCATGATGCTTTTTCCTATACTGTAGCATAAGATGTAAAGTTTGTAATTAATGTTTGTTAATTTCTGTGCATTTTAATATTCTTTTATAATTATGAGCATTTTAATAAATTTGTTTTTTCAAACAATACAGTGGTCTACTCTGTATTTAATTGTCTTAATGTTTTTTTTAAGGAAGAAAATATATACCTGCTATTAACTAATGACCAGTTATGTATCACTTGGATAACAGATGTGCACTTTTGTGTAAATGTATCTAAACTGATATATTTTAACAGCCACCACTTACTTTGGAACATGGTTTTTCTAGGAAAAAGTAGGGACAGGGTTTCAGCCAAGGCTGCTGCATGCAGTTGTTGGGATTGAGCCCTGCACAAGGCACCATGGAGCTGACGACCAGCCCACCATGCCAGGTGTCCTAGTGTGGGCACTGACTAGGAGGAAAGGGTGCTTTTCTCTAATCGCACGGAGATGTCTTCCACTTGCTAAACCAGGATTGCAGTGGACAGTGCCACCCAGAAAGGACAAGTCTCTATAAGTATCAGAAAGTCTCTGTAAGGACTAACAGCAGGCCTAGGTGCAGAAAGGGGAATTATAGATAAAGCATACTCTCATTACAAAAATCAATCTTTCCTTTATCTTGAGAAACACATAATCTAGATTTTACTCGTCCTATCCTTTGATTTTCTTGAACAGCTTAAATCTCAATAGGTTCACAATAAAACTGTAAGTTAAATATATTCCATAACTGGGCCAACAGGAAAAAGTTTTGTCTGATCACTAAATTATGCACTTGGGACCAAGTCTAATAATGTTCTTCCTCTTCAAGCATTATATGCCCAGCAGAGGGGCACTAAGATTCATTTCTGAAGCACCCTCTTCTGGGGGGGAATGAAGGTATTCATCTGACAACCATCAGACACTGGGCCATATTATTTTCCTTATATGTTACCTCACTGTCAACATAACTTTATGCTGAGATTTTAAGTAGCTTGTTTTAAAAAAAAAAAAAAGATTATAAAATTAAGTATGTGATTATCAAAGAAAAGCAACACGTTATGTAAAAATCTCAAGCTGTACAGAAAGGCTATGCAGGGAAACCCCAGGCTTAGCTCCCTCCCCAGAGGTTCAATAAATGTGAGTTGGGCCGTCAGGCAGACTCTGTGCCCAAAAGAAACTTCAGAGATTTGCTTTGGATTTTTAAAAATTACATTCAGTGTATTAAGGTTGCAGATCAGAAAGCTAGTTATTTCCTTAAGCTCAGCCCAAATCCTATTCATAAATCTAGCAAATTTCACCAGTCATTTTTTTTTTTTAATTTTTTTTTTTTTTTTGAGACAGAGTCTCGCTTTCTTGCCTAGGCTAGAGTGAGTGCCGTGGCGTCAGCCTAGCTCACAGCAACCTGAAGCTCCTGGGCTCAAGCGATCCTCCTGCCCCAGCCTCCCGAGTAGCTGGGACTACAGGCACGTGCCACCATGCCCGGCTGATTTTTATATTATATATATTAGTTGGCCAATTAATTTCTTTCTATTTTTATGGTAGAGATAGGGTCTCGCTCAGGCTGGTTTTGAACTCCTGACCTTGAGCAATCCGCCCGCCTCGGCCTCCCAGAGTGCTAGGATTACAGGCGTGAGCCACCGCGCCCGGCACCAGTCATTTTTTATAACACTTTTGAATACTGTTTGGTTCCACTTGCAAATTTAATGAAATATGTTAAAATATCTGCAATAGCACTCACAAATATAGTGTATTCCATTTCCTTTTTACATACTTCCAATTACCTGACCAATAGTGACCAAGAGGATTGTAACTGGTGAAACAGGAACTCTTGTTTCTCTTGCTGCCTTTTCTCTAGAGGATGCCTTTTGCAAAACCATTTAGGCCGTGTTCCCCCTTGTCAGCCTTCGTTACTGAGACACTGAATATACAAATACGAAATGGCCAGACAACGTATAAACAGAACTCTGACCCACAACCTGCAGCAGCCTGCCCAGGAAACCGATCCTTGACGTACAATAATCAGCCAGGAAGCCAAACTGCTATTAAGCTAGACTTACAGAAAGTCAGGCTGCTATCTCTAGGGACAAGCCAGGAAGCTAAACAATAACTTATTGGCCCAATATGGCCAAGACCTGATTAATAACTGACAGCTTCCCTAATTTGGGTCCTTGCTTGCACCTTAGGACCACCAGACACAATCATGCACAGGTGCAGATCTCTCAGGAGACTCCCTCAATCACTGGAAGGTTTGCTGTCCCTCATCTCTGCTTTGCGGATATAACTAAAAAAAAAAAAATTTAAAAAAATACTCCATCTGGTTGCTCCCCAAAATACTGAAAAGCAAACATATGTAAGGAGCAGCTCCTAGGAAATTGTTAAAATCGCCCCTTTGATTGGTGATGATGGGGCAAATACAACCCCAGGAGCTCCCACAGGAGCCCAGAGAGAACCTATCATGTTAACACTAACCCTTCATTAATAATGAGGCAGGTTAATGCATTCTTGAGACCTCTTCAATTTCCTTCATAAGGATAAATCATTTCATTACCTTCCTCATTTCAATCTAGGAAATTGCACTGAAAGCCTTAAATAAAACTTCCCCAACAATATTCTTCCATGTCACCTTTTGAAGCTCTATTACCTGTTCAGTGTGAACAGCGTAATTCCTAATACTTGATCATGGCACTCCATGTTATAAGAGAAATGGTCCCCGGACATCTCTTGAGAGCTCACTCCCTGGGTTTCCTATTGTATTCAGGGCTTCATCCCTTTGCAGTTTGCCAGCCTGGATAATATCACAAAATTTTGTCTTCTAAATCATGTCCCACTTAACATCTCTACTCATTCCTGGGCACCTAATTGCCTAATATTAGTTCCCCTCATTAGGAAAGACAGTAGCCCAGTGTGCTGCTCACAAACCACCCCGCAATGCAGCCCAGTTTCTGCCTGGATGGCCAGGCTGTTACAAACATATCAGTCCTCCAAACATTTCCTTAGCAACTCTGACCCGCTGCTCCAGCCAAACTAAACCCAATCTTTGTCAGCTGTGAACCAGTGCCTGGGGCAAATGTACTCACTTCCCACCCACTAGCATATTATAAATGATGAGAGAAAAGAACAGAAACTTTGCCCGGAGTAAAAAGTGAGGGTTTTCATGTACTGATCTAAGCATCTTGAGAATATAGTTGGCTTCACCAAAAATATGTCATGTTTTAATTAGGGTCGACAAGTACATTTAGAGTCTAACAAAGTCACTGGGGAAAAAAAATGAGGGCAATGGTTGGGTAGAAGACAGTTATTTTACCTGGATACAAGGCAGCCTGCCAGGTATAAGAAAGGAGATAAGAGTTAGAAACAGAGGACCTTGACTCAAATCTTGGATCTGCCACTGCCTAGATTCATAACCTTTAGAAAGTGGAGAGACTAAATAAACAGTCAATGGCCAGACAACATATAAAAGTAGAACTCCGATCCACAACCTGCAGCAACCTGCCCAGGAAACAGCCCTTATCTACAATCAGCCTAGGAGGCCACCCTGCTATAAGTCAGACCTGTAGGAAGTCAGACTGCTATCTCTAGGGACACTCCAGGAAGCTAAACAATAACTTATGTAACAACTGGCTCGATATGGCCAAAACTTGATTAATAACAGCTTCCCTAATTTTGGTCCCTGCTTACACCTTAGGACCAACCAGAGAAAGCCAAATATGCCACCTCACCAATCACACAGGATGTCCCCCTTCTAGTTAGCCTGCCTGCAGCTTCCCCACACCAGCAGCCTGCAGTCACCCGAAGCCTTCCCTATTATCCGCTATAAAACTTTCCTACTCCTCTGCCTGCCTTTGAGTCCCCAGCAAAACACAAGTGACAGGGATCGACTCCTTTGCTATAGAGCAAGATCGGAATAAATAGACTTTGCCCGTTCTCATTTGGTTGAACTTTACTTTGACCAAGTTATTAAACCTTTCTAGGCTCTAGCTTCCTAAAGTGGGGCTAAATATTTGCCTCCAATGAAGTCCCCAATGCCGACGCTTTTCACACTGGATTCAGTGTGCCAGGGAGAATAAGAAACCACAGGATAAACATGAGGTGTCTTCTTGGAGGGAAGGGTCTCAATGAGTAAGGGAGAAATGGTCATATTAAAATAAATAGATATTTTAAAAGTGAATGCAAAATTTAAGTGAGTTTTTAATATAAAATAACGGCCTTTAAAGAAATTCCATGCTGATAGTGAGCTGCTTCATTTGGTCCCGGGTTATACCTTCACCTTCCTCTGTCCTCAGTGGAACTTGGTGAAAAAGACTGAGAAGTGTTAACATATGTTGAAAGCACCTTGTCGGCCATGAGATTCTAGAATACTGGTTCTCAAAGTGTCATCTAGGTTCCCCTGAGAGTGCGGGCCTGAGACCTTCTCAAGAGGTCCACAAAGGCAAAACTATTCTCACAATATTACGAGACATTCTTTGCCTTTTACACTGTCATTCTCTCACGAGTGTACAGTGGAGTTTCCAGGAGCTCTATGACATAAGCTATGGCCAGAGAGTGAATGCAGGAGCAGTTATGAGCATCTAGCTGTTTTCTATTAAGCCAGACATTAAAAATATAAACCAATGTCATTCTTCTCACTACATTATTTTGAAAAAAATACAGTTATTTTTTGTTAAAACATTTTATTCTTTACATGTTATGGGTTTATTCTTGTTTTAAAATTAAAAGCAATTTTTAAAAATGTCTCAGTTTTAGTTTCTAATACAGTAAATACTATTATGATAAATATGATTCACTCAAACAAAAGTTTTTGCTTTCGCAAAACTTTAAGAGTGTAAAGGGGTTCTGAGGCCAAAAAATTTGGAGAACAACTGCTTTATAAGTATTGGAACCAGAGCCAACGATGGCATTTAAGTTGGAGAGTACACTCCAAGTGTGAGGGTGACACAAAAGACCAATGCACCCCTTCCACTCTCCATGCATGTGAAATCCATCTTCTGGTTAATGTCACTGACCTCTAGTAAAGCTCGGTCTCCAGCACAAGATCTGCTTTGGTGCTTTGGCTCAGACAAGCTGCCTCGTCCTGCTCAATACGTGCTAAGCTCTTGGTCTTCATTCCCCAGCTGTCTGTCCTGGGCTG